CAATATCAATATTATCTCTCAACATCCAAGCATATCACTATGTTGAATCGTTTCAATGCAAACGGAAAATGTTGAGCAGCTAAGAGAAAAATAAATATTATGCTATTTGGAAAGGAGCATTACATAATGCGTCGGAGTAAAAACTAACAAGATATCGAAATCTTCGGAGCAAAATAAATCATATTTAAAATTACATCGAGTTGTTTTAGTGGGAGCGCGTGGGTGGGCGTTTGGAAAATGAAACAAAAGTCAGACAAACAGAATAATGATTTGAACTTTTGGCATTTGGGTGTGCGTGTGTACTGTGTACGTTACATGCCACTAGTTAAATATATCCATTTTGATATTGAGACTCTGTTAAATGAAACGGCTACCGACGACCACCCACGTGCCACGCGAAGGGGTTGCAGGCACCTGAACAAAGTTCATTAGCCAAAAACTTTTGGCATCGTTATGAAAATGGACTTATAGCGGGCGTATCCCTCTGTTTTTCATTTTTCTCGGCGAAAATTATTCTGGGGCAAAATTCCACGGATATGTCATCGTTTATCTTTTATACACATCATAGCTCCATCAATCAAGTATGGTTTTAAGGCCTGTGAGACGCAAAAATGTAAACTGCAGAAAAAGAGCGCGGTGCGTGCCTCCCCCCGCCACAAAACAAAACCATGTGACACGGAACAGGCTACAAGATATCAAGCTCATCTTCTTCGGCATTGTTTACTTTTAACGGCATCTTCTTACCGTTTTCCATCGCTTGGTCGCTTGCTTGCTCGCGCGACTTCATTTAATTTCCGTTATAGCTCTTACTTCTACAATTTTTACGCAAATAAAATGACCGAAAATTCTTTTCTCTCCCTCTCTACTACGTCGAGAATAATGTGAGCGACAAAATCCGCGCTCAACTGTGTGCTTTATATTTAGATTTATGTGTACTTATGGTTAAATTATTGAGATTCATGATGAAATGCCAAAGATAAACAGAAAAACACTGACACACATACATACACATACACCACCATTAGCTGTAGGCCGATAACGGTGAAAGTGCCTGGGAATTTGTCCAAAGCATACCACACACACATCAAGAATTTATCCACTGTGTTATTCAATTTTTAATAGAATCTATGGCACACTAGAGTTTCATTTTACCTATGGCTGACCTATGAACTTTTACCGATATTGTTAGTCAATCATAAAAGTGAGAGCATACTGTACACGGCTCACGCTCTTAAATCATTCAAACGACGTCAAATTCGTATGCCATAGTGGAATACGGCAATGAACCACAGCAATTGCCATAAAATATATATAAACGGTGGAAAATCGACGTTGTAACCGATGTGTTATGTTTTAAAAGTGAACTGTCTACAGTGCACGGCAGCACTGAACTGAACAGAATAGCACATAAAATGTTTTGCGTTTCGGTATATATTCCAATTGATGGAGGTATTTCATGACAATAAACGAGATGAGATTTTACGACATTTTCCATTTTCACACGAAGTGAGAAATGATGATTGAAGCCACTTTGGATTAGTCGTCAAATATCTTTTTAGCGGCATGTATTTTTTTCGCCGCTGCCGCGCTCCAGATGGATAAATTTTCCTTCTTTTCGAAAGAACAAGGGGGGAGCCAATGGGGGGGGGGGGGGGGGAGGGGGGGGGGGGGGGGAAACAATCGTATATTTCCAAGTTCCATATATTCAATTTCGATCAATTCGGGATCATTGATTACAGCGGGGAAATGGAAAAACTTCAAAACTCATCGCGAACATTTGATAAAATTTATAAGTTAACGATGTTTGATAACAAACTTGAGAATATGATATCGATTTGCATGAATATTCGAGCATTTTCCCGTGTAAACAGCATACAAAACGTAATCAGTATATGAGAAAAAAATAGCATATATTAAGTCAGCAAAGAAACCTTGGAGCACCATAATGATTCCAGCATCAAGAGACAACACATCAGAGCACGACACTAGAGCAAGTGAATGTGCAGGCGAAAGAACGAACAGCGAAGGCGCGATAGCAAGAAAGAAGAAGAGCGTGAGGTAGGATAGGTGGTTGAGCGTGCAAGCGATGTGAATAAATAAACAAACGATTTGTATCAGTTTCGGTGCGATTTTCCATTACGGATTTCCATTTTCAACGAATATCAAATGAAATCCTCTTATTTTTAACGAATCGCTGTAAATTTTACTGTGAGTTTTGCAAATATACGTATATATATATATGCATATTTTTAGCCGCCCGTTATACAAACAACGAAAATATATATGTGTATAATCGAGAGAAATGCTTGTCTCGTCACTCTTGACGAGTGGATGTGTGTGCAGAACATTAACGGTAATGCTCTGGGTTTTCCATGAAACACTTCGATTTGATTGCGTTTCATTAAATACATTTCCATTTTTTGTACTTTCGATTCGAGTTTTTCGTTTTTTTTTCTTCTCTCCTCTGTTTCTTCTATTCTTGCTGAAGTCAAGGGAAACGTACGCATAATGAGAGTCTATTACGTTAGAATTTTCCAATGCTTCGACTACTATATATTCATTATTATTAGCATTAATAATCGCAATAAGGCTCAGTTATAAAAGCAAAACCATTCCACCCGCAACACATTTGCCCGGCACCGTTATCTCTCTTCCTCTCTCTATCTCTTGCAACGTTCGAGCGCGAGCTCCAATGTATTCCAAAACATGGGTGCTAACTAATTTCACGGTATATCTGCATATTTTGATGACTTCTAATGTCAAAAATACCAAAGTCTGTTCACCGCCGCTCTCTAATTGCATCACGATTTCATTCAACAGAGACTCTCTAATTATTAATGCTTATTCTATTGGCATATGGAATTCGTGGAAAAAGGCATGCCAAACATTGCAATTATTCGAAACGGTTTATTCTGAAAATTGGCATCGACTTGTATTTTTGTATGCAGACTTCCAATTTGCTAAAGCTCTCTCTGCAGACTTTTCCTTTTTACCTTTCTTTCAATTCTGTTTTTTTTTGTCCTCTGCCAATCGAAACGAGCAATTTAATTATTCGCAGAAAATCTTATATTCAAATGGGGATCATGAATGCTGAGTATGTTTTTTTGATTAAATTCGTAGATTCAATTATTAAAGTATAATGTATAAATCGGTAGAAGGTCTTGTAATACCCCGACGAGAAATTTGCGGAATATCGCATTGCGACTATTCTACGTATAGTCGCAATACGAAAAAGTCCGTCGAACGCAGCCAACTTCACGTTGGTTGTACGAAGTTTCAAGTCGAAATATCACACTCGATTCAGTTACAACTTCACATTTATCGCAGCGCGAATAGTCGCAGGGTATTCAGCGATAACATTTTGCGGCAACTTTTATTGTGGATACCTATTCGCATTGCGAGTATCCGCACTCAAAAACGGATATGCGACGGATAGTCGACGTACACCTATTTCACCGCAAATTTCTCGTCGGGTACGTTGCCATGCACATACCAAATGGTTTTCCACGGAAAAGAAAAGCAGCACCGTTCAATTATCATGATATATTTGAAAGGAGCCAATTTGCGTTGAGTGGGCTCAACAAAAAAGCAGCTCATCAAATCATTAGAATGCGATGAGAGGGAAAGAAAGAGAGAAAAAGGAATAGAGAGAGAGCGAAAGAGAAAGTTCTTTGAAAATATGCTCAAAAGGAAATGCCAACCACATTGATTTGTTGAAGGCGGTGCATTGATGAGACTAATTCATTGATCTCACTCCATACCCCCCTCTCTCTCTGCTCAACCATAACCAGACCATAATATTTTTCGGCATAAAAACGAGAGCAAACACCCCGATTATAGCTTGTTAACCGTTTTCTTTCTTTTGGCTAAACAGAACCCACTGAAGCATTGAAAAATGGAACTAGTAAATCAATTGAGCAAACGATTTAATGTTCGTTCAAAGCATCACATGAACAAAAAACCAGTCCTCAAATATGAGCCAATTACGCCTTAATTTGAGGCCTGTTTTGCCTGCATCGATGCCAAAATCCAGATATTGATTGTTTATTTGCTGACAAATGTGATCCAATCCATCGGTGTGCCGAAATACCACAAACAATAATGGTAGCATGGCATAGTACAAATAAAATTAACAAAAATGGAAATAAAACATCGAAAACGAAAAAAAAGAACAATGTGCACCAGCACGAAAAAAAATTTTCTCACTTCTATGAGTGGAGAATGTCGCACAAAACGATAGAATTCATCGCGATGACTTCAGAGCAGAAATATGTTCGAATTATTCACTTGTAAGTTGTGCAACTGAGAGTTGATACGTACACTGTGTGTATATATCACCTAGAACCACGTCAAAGACACAGTCCGATTGGGCATGGCGACCGAACAGGAGTATGAGGAACAAGCTCTTTTGTTGCCGACGAAGGCTGTTAAAATGAAATGTGAAGAAAATTTCGAAAAGTTTTTCTCGAGTTTTGATTGTTTTTTGTTGTTGTTGCCGAAAATATTGAACTCTTAAGTACACTAAAGCGATGGTTTATGACAATGAAAAATGGAATATCAGAAAAATATGCGTCGACGATAGCAACGAAAAAGAGAAAAAAAAATTGTGTGTTATTGCCTTCAATTTTCGGCTTTTCCCAATGTAATTTCGTTCCGTAGCAAATTGCTTTGCGCTTTCATTCGTTCTCTCGCTTTTTTGTTGCTCGCTGAATCTCGATTTAATCGGTAATAGTACCAATAATTTATAACCGATTAAGCACATTAAAGTTACACGCAGAGTCGATACGTTATCGACATTGGCACGTGCTCACATCATCAATGGTGCAAAATTTATTGTGCTCAACCTGTCACAACTTGTAATAAATGAGAATCCAAATGTATAGACGGCGCACATCAAGTGCTGTTTGGGTGATGGCGTGCGACGGTAGCAGCACCAAAATGGCCGAACTGTCAACTAATAATTCATTTCATTTTTCTTTTTCTTCTTTTTCTTCTGACAGGTCATTAGTTGCAATAAGAACATCTGCACCTTACAAATCACAGATACAACGGGTAGCCATCAGTTTCCAGCGATGCAACGGTTATCGATAACAAAAGGTCATGCATTCATTCTGGTGTATTCGGTGTGCTCGAAACAGAGCCTCGAAGAGTTGCGAGCGATTTGGGCGTTGATCAAGGAATTAAAAGGACAGGAGATATCACAAATTCCGGTCATGTTGGTTGGCAACAAGTGTGACGAGAGTGCTGCATTGCGTGAGGTCACCGAATTGGAAGGCAAAGCCGAGGCTGCTTCATGGGGTGTTTCATTTATGGGTGCGTCATCTAATTTATATTTATATTTATACGTTTCATATTTATTAAATGCGAAATAATAATAATAACAAAAAAGAAGCTGAAAAGAAAAAGTTGAAACAATGTTTTATTAATCATTTATATTAATTGTTTACTTCTTGCTACTGCACACATCAACACAACCACACACACATACGCGTGGCGTACAGAATGCTCAGCCAAAGAGAATATTCGGGTGACTGAACTATTTCAAGTAAGTTGGAAAAAGAGAATGTCTAGGCATCTAAAAATATTTCGAAAGTGTAGTCTGTCGCCTTTTTTGACATGGGGTGACGAACGCGCGCGTGTGAAAACGAACGAAAATCTCAGCATTCCTTCCAGCAGTTTTCTTAATCTCTTTCGATGCGTGCTTTTTTCTCTTTCTTTTCATTAAAACCCATTAAATGTGCTATCAATAAAGTGGCCAATTTCTCACGTCTTCTTCTTCTAATTCTGCCTTTTGTGGGTCGCAGCAATTATGCTGTCGTGCGATTCACTTTAAAGATTTTCAATTTTCTACTCTCTCTTTCATTTCACTTTGCCGTTGCGTTCGTCTACGCGATTTAATTTATTCGCAGCTATAGCTTAGTATGAGAAAATTTCTCAATTTTTCTTCATCTTTGACATATTTTCTCTTTGTCTTTTTATCACTTTCATTTGTGGTACACAGGAATTGCTGAATATGGAAAAAACGCGCACTGTATCACTGCAATTGGACGGGAAAAAGAACAAAAAATCCAAACCAAAGAAGAAGGATCTGGCAAATGGTGGTGCATCACAAGACAGTGGCGAGGGTTCAAGTGCTAATATCAAAGAAAAATGTCACGTAATGTAAGCGCTTTCGAAATGATTTTAAGACCAAATCCATTAAGCAAAACACTGACATAGAGCAAGTGAAAATAAAAAAAAAACGAACTCGACTCTACTTCTTCATCATCATCTGTCACATACAACTTGGTATATAGAAAGAAACTTCAACGAATGAATAAACAAAAAAACACAAAAAGAATGGAAATATTAATGTAAACAACAAAAAATTACGGGCCACACACAAACACACAAAGAAAACCGAATAGAAATCATAAGGAGTTGTACACATTTTTGTACAGCAACTGTTTGCTGTCTTCTACTCGCAAATTATTTATGAACCATTAGAATATTCAGAATGACACAAACACATTTACAATAGCTGAGTAAAAACAATAGCACTGAACCATAGTTGGAAAGAGAGGGATAAGATGCTTAGAATGGCTGAGTTGAATGTGGTTGAGTAAGTGCGTGCGTGTGTACTTGAGAGCATGAGTGAACATAGCACAGAAGGGACAGACAGGCAGCGTCAAGCGTTTAAGAAGATTACAACAGAGTAACCACTTGAGTTAAAAAGCCCAACTGTGAAAAGTGAAAGCATACGAGAAATGAAAATTGGTGGAAAATACAATGCGACAGAAGAAGAAGAAGAGGAATTACCCCCAAGAAAATCGAAGAAAATGAAATGAGAATGTTCCAAGAGTTGTTGAGTAAGAAAAAAACGATGAAGAATTGACGAAAGAACAGAATGCGATGACAACAACGGCGAAGATGTCGATGTGGATTGAACTGAAAGCAGGATAGTGAGAAAAAGCTTTTTATGTCATACTGCATTTAAATTGCTGTTATCTATTTTTGCATTGGAAAAATGTTCTTGTTACTACACATCATTTTTTTCCCTTCTTCTTCGTCATAACTTTTTCTCGATTCTCTCCCTCTCACTCTCCATTCTGCTACTCTACCTTTTGTTCTTCGCAGCATTGCGAAAAAGCATTAAATACGCACGTATTAACATAAAACTTATACAAGTTATACTATGTAAACAAAACAAAAAATGAATAAATAAAATGCCAACATGTTTGCTATATCCCACAGAATTGCCCTCTGCGTCATACGGTCAATATGGTATTTGGTTTTGGAATGATGTGGAAAACATGTTGAATGCACGTTTGTTTTATATTGCACATTGGTTTTATGTGCTGTGTGCTTTATTGTATTGTTGTTTGTTGAGATTGCAATGCTTGTTCTTGCCATTCATTCGTTGCGATACACTTGGTTCACATCAAAAATTGAACGAAATTTGTGTGTGGCAGCACCGGATTGGCAACAAACATTTCATCGGAAATAAATGTGATTTAATTTTTCCCTCTTTCTATCTCTCGTATTCTTCGTTCTTCTTCCGAGTTTTCGTATTATTCGTTCGATGCTGACGAAATCTGTGCCAAACATACAGACTTATCACAGCATGTGCTAAGTGCAAGAAATCGACCATTATATTTTTAGATTCAGTGTAAAAAACACGGCAAAATATCTCGCGGAGTTTTCCTTTTTTTTTTCTAAATAAACAGAGAAAGCATTGTTGCCGCACATACAATGTGCATCATGAATCTGAAATACAGTTAATCAGAGCATGATAACGATGTTGTGTGTGTATGTGCCCGCTCGTTCGTTGCAGAGCATTATTTACTTGGCCAATTTGAACGATTACACCTTACCTGCTGTTTGCAAGCGCATTATTTCATTTGCAAAACTGTAACGGGATTAGTTTCTCAGTGTTTGGTGTAATAAACCAAACAAACGGCCAAATTCCCAGCTGGAAAGCTTCACCGTGCTTGGGGCCTGGGACGATGCGAACAAACGGGAGACTTATGACCCAATTTACATTGAAAATGTCATGTTTCCCACATGCAAATGCAAATTCTGCAATCATTAGCATATTTTTTTCTGCAGAAACCGATGCACATTCATACACAATTCACATCCTCCAACGATGCTGATGCACCCACGACACATTCGAAGTGAATCGAGTGCGATGTTGTGTAGTGACGAATGGAGGGACAAAAAAAAGTATGGAAGCCACGACAAAACAACATAAATGCGTTCATGCAATCTCCAATTTGATACAGGTGGGCGAATTCGCGAGTATATACTCTCATACTTACTCATTTTGAAAATGAGTATGTCTCGACATACTCTCATACTCATAGATACTCTTTGAGTATGAGAGTATATACTCAGAGTATATACTCTTTGATTTTGAGTATGTCTCGACCTTCTCATTTTTTACCCAAAGAGTAACTCTACACCTACTCTTTTTCCTACTCTTTTTCATACTCTTTTTCCTACTCATTTGAGCATGTCTCGACATACTCATTTCCAATTTTTTTTCTCCTCAGAAAAAGTTATATATCCTTTATATATTTTTCTGAGGGAGGGAAAACGAGTGACTAAGTGTAGAGTTACTCTTTCGCAAAAAAAAATGAGTAAGTCGAGACATACTCAAATGAGTATGAAAAAGAGTAGGAAAAAGAGTAGGTGTAGAGTTACTCTTTGGGTAAAAAATGAGTAGGTCGAGACATACTCAAAATCAAAGAGTATATACAAGAGTATCTATGAGTATGAGAGTATGTTGAGACATACTCATTTTCCGTTGGTATGGGAGTAGGAGTAGGAGTAGGAGTAGGAGTATGAATTATACTCTCTTACTCCGCCCGCCTGTACAATTTGATGGCTTCTGGTTTATCGCTGGCTGATGTTGTACGTATTTTCATATGTGCTCACGCTCGCATTCAAGCAAAAGCAGCTTTTACCATTTAAATGGTTTAGCGTGGAGGCGTTTCCGTTCTGATAACATCGTCGTAATTTATTGACATATGATTAGCTCGGTTGAGTCTTTAATTTCTTGTTTATTGAACGATTTCTCGCTCACGCGAGATTCCATAAACCATTTCAATAAGCATTATACTCTCTAGCTGCGTAACTCGTACAAATACCACACTCAATTCGCATCGACAAAGAGATTTAAGATTCTTTCTGTCTCTCACTCTTCACTTCTATGGCTCTCGGCTCTTAGCTCTTTTTCTTACACCCTCCATCTCCTTCCACTTCGGTGACTTCTTTCTTATCAGATCCCATTTGGAGCGAAGATGAAAAAAGAACTTTCAATTTACTGTGGAAATCGCATGACGACTGAATTACGGTTGGCAAAAACGTTCAGTCCAATCGGATCGGATTGAATTAAATGAGCCAGTGTGCTGAAGATGCATAGTCGACATTTGTTTTGAAGCGAGATGGTTGAATCCATTCACCGAGACACAGAATCAGCGTCGCGCTCGGTTCACAATAATATCATTTGTGCATAGTAACTGGACAAATGTTACATAACTGAAATTCGCTTATTTTCAGTGGCCGAGTTTTAAATAAGTAAATTAGAAAACAGCAATTCCCACAGCGAATTTCGGCTCCTTTTTCCTGGTGGCTCTTGAGTGTGCAGTGAATGCCTTTGAATTGCAAAGAATATGATTGCAATAATGATAACTTAACTCATTCTGTCTGTGTTCCATGCTTCAACCCGAACTAGAATCATGCGAGATATAGATCAAAAATGTGGAAACTCGTTAGCTGCCAGTGTAAACATTGTGAAATTACTATTTGAATACGAGCCAGCTGTAAAAACATATTAGATTAATTTCCATCGAGATAAGTGGTTCAATTAGATGCGAGAAAATTTCATTTATACTTCTTGTTCTCGTCTTGTTCGGTCGTAATTTATGCGAGCAGCAGCAACAGAAAGGGCGGCACTACCGGCATCGGTCGAAGTTCTTGGCCTGATATAAAAATACTCATTTCTCGTTGTCTTTCGAGCTTGAAATCAACAATATATGGAAAAGTTCCGTTCATAAATAAATAATCCAAGTTTGTGAAGTGCACTTTTCACTTGCAAAACTCATTTACAACTATGAAATCGTGTACACTTCTGATCCTCTTTCTCTCTCTCTCTCTCTCTCTCTCTCTGACTATGAGCAGAAAAAAAATGTTTTCTACTTAAATGGAATGAAAATAAAAGAGAGAAAAACAATAATAATACTCAAAAGTTCCAGGAAAATTCCGCATCTTCAAGTTCCAGCGTACGAAATGAATCGGAAAATTGCTCATCATTTTTGCTTGAAAACGTCGAATGTGGCATACCATTTGAAAAAGAATGAGAAGAGAAAAAAAATGATGAAGAAAAATAACGACAACGGCACCATGGCAATATTTCAATGCGCTGAAGCGGAAAATGGATGCGAGCGTATCACGTCCAAACAGAAATTTCCACTTTGTTTCCATTGTTCATAACTTTATTTCCGTTTGAAAACTAATTTACGGGACGGTAAAATTCAAAAGCCACTGCAATATGAATTGAGTTTCCGGTAAATTGTGAAAAATAAAAATCCCCCAGACAAAATACAGCCAGATGATTCAGTGTAACCAGACACATATTTCTCCGAGTTTAATTGGCATTTCAGAGAACTGTATCATGCAATTACATAATTGTTCATTTGTTTGTTGGAATAATCAATGGCTTTTTGCTTGCAATTCGTTGCATTGCCGTAAGCGTCGAAACACAAAGATAGAGAGCTATCACACAGTGCGAGAGAAAGAGAGAGTGATAGAGAAACAGAGCAAGGTAATACAATTTGTCTTGAGTTTTAGCCAGACACACAGTGCTGCTGGGATCGAACGAAAATGTTTGGCCAACCTTAATTCCTAAGAAACGATCGTCGAAACCAAAATTGCTGCTGGTACATTTGGACGCGTGCTCGTTTACATGCATGAATTGCGTGGGCCGAACTGAACTTTAACACACGCACACAACTCAAATGCGGTCGTTTCTATCACTTCTGACATTTGATTTCAACTTTTTCCCTTAGCGCTACAACCTATATAGATAGAGAGCGCCATCGAATTACGTCGAGCGTCTATCGTCATTTTTACCAGTCACTGGTTTGCAATTGGATTTCGGGGAAATTCCCAGATCCCAGTTATTTTTTTCCGTCTTCTATGGAATCCATTACATAAATGTTTTGGAACATATGTTACGCAACATTTATATTAGCAATGAGGATTCAGCTGTTGCTCCGAGTTCGGTGACACATTTGCACACACACATACTTCTCATATGCCAAATTAGACATTTGATTAAGTGATGTTTCACATATTGGTACATAAGGGATAACTGAAAAAAAAGAAGAAGAAAAACAGAAAAAATGTGTTACATTTGAAACCCTTTTTTTGTCATTTAGCTTGTAGGGACTAACAAAATAAATAGATATTTTTTGATTGAAGCATTCTATTTCGCACCAAAATTTAACAGAAAAAAACAACATACGAGTCAACAATTGAGTTATTCTTACAGCGATTGAAAAAAAAGTTATATATTCATAGATTTAAAAACAAAGAGATTGAAAATGAAAAGAAAAATAAACAACTAAAATATATTTTTTTATATTGGCAAATTTTGCAAAGCTGAAAATAAAAGAAATAAAAAAGAAGAAAAAAATCAATAAATTTTATCAGACATTCATAAAATGCACGAAATTCCAAGCTTTTACACGTTATACCAAAAAAAAAAAATGAATTTGAGTGCATCGCCAAAAATAAAGAGAAATCAATTAGAGAAGTGAATGAATTTGCTTTCATTGTTTTTTGCCGGACCTGAGCAAAAATGGACGGCTCATGTTAATTAAGCATAGACATTTGTATACAAGAGATACGTGTATTTTTGGGCACCATACCTTTCCTCTTTTTGTTCCGTAAAATTTTTCATTTCAACATCAAAAGCCATTTTATTCGATTGATACCGCCACAGAGATAAACATACACGAGAATTGCGTGCTCACTTCCATCGGTTTATCGATTTAGGTCAGGCGGCTAAAGTGGCTCATCAAGCAAATTTCCATTGCGAGAAGAGCGTAAGAAGACCATTACATTTTCGATAAGCGAGAAAAAAAATAGAGGAACAATAGTGAGAAAGCATATTTATTTGGTTGAAAGGTCTGCGTTTTTTTGTTTTTCTACAATGTAAATAACAATGTTTTGTTTTAGAATAAACTGTGATTGTTAATGGAAAAGACACACAAAAATGACATATGAATGTTATCATGAATTATATCGTATACACATGGTTCAATAGAACATAGTGAAAACGATGAAGAACAAAAAACCGAATCAATAAAATAATCGAATCAGAAATATTGATTTAGAGCCATATGGATGGATGGATGAAAAAAGAAATCAAATTTCTGGTGTGAAAACAATGATAGGACCCAAAATTGAGAGCGGAGATAAAAAAAACCATGTCTCCTTTTTCTTATGACTACATTTATTGCCGGTGTAAGGTCGTGCTTGTGAGCGGTAGCGTGTTTAACGCGTACATGTCGGCACAAGCCTGACGCCGCATTAAGTTTAATTATTCAATTAGTACATTTAATTTTCGTTCATATCTGCGAATTAGCGCAATTACACCCCAGAATATAAATTGCTCGCTTCAATTTATTAGGCAACAACACACAGCTGAACAAGAAATAACGACAAAAAATGTATTATTCGCAGGGACATTTATTGTGGAGTCATCACAATGATTCTGCTATCATCGTCAAAAAAAATGTAAGAGAATTTAAGATTTGCACCACTTTTCTCCACAACAGACAATTTCTCACCCTTTTAGCCTCACGCTGAATTATAATTATTATACTTACACAAAAGACAGTTTCAGAGAAGAGAAAAGAAAAAGTTGGAAATAAAACGACTTGATGCAGAGCTAAAAATACAATGTAATAATGCTAAATGATGATTTTAGAGTAGAATAGACAAATGGGTGTTAGACGAAATGGAGAATAGTGAGTATTTTCCCTTCTACCCCTAAACAAATGAATTATACAATTAAAAATTATTATTATTATCTATTTTTATCTGATTAGTAGTTATCCGAAATGAACACGGATCGTTTGCCAATGGAAATAGCCAAATACAGAAACAAAAAAAAATCTTTTCTTTTTGATTTGCTCTGATGGTGGTGTTTACGCTAATTATTGACTAGTAAATTAGTAATTTAGAAGAAAAAAAAGACTCCATACGCAATCGATCGTTGTTCATTTCGATTTCAAACCAAAATATGAATATATTATCTAGTTTTAGATGAAAAATAAAGTTGCATTAAAATTTAAACTTATATTAGTGGATACAACGAATTCAAAAACCAAAAATGATGACAGCAAAAAACGACATTGATTTACACACACACGAAAAAAAGAACGCAATGGGCAAATAAAACACAAATGGAATCAGCTGAAAAATAAATGAGGGATTATATTTATTATGTTTGTTATCAATGAACTACCAGAAAAAAAGAACAAAACAAAAACCACAAACGTATGCTAATGTGGATGAAACTAACAAAAAAAAATAAGAGGAAAACATATACAATTTTTATGAATAGAATGTAGATGACTGTTGCGGTCGATGGTTGTTTTTTTTTTGTCTCGTAATATTTAGAGATTCCGTTTTGTAAAGGAAGTATAGGCATTTACATGCTGTTAGTTATATATATATTTCCTTCCACAACCATCGAATATTGTTCGGAGAATAAATATTCATTTCACACATACTGAAAAAAAAGTAAAAAGCTTTATCAATAGGACACAAAAAAAATACAAGTAAAATAAACTGTGGTGAATAAATTGATGTTATGGGCGAGTGACGACGGCGAATCAAATTCGCTATTGAACTCTCCTTATGTTGTCTACAGAAAAAAAAGCCAATGCAAAAATTTTCCGTAGAATAGTGATCAAGGGCTCATTCGCGCCTCCGATTGACTATTGCTTTTCCTCAGCCGATCAATATGCTTCGGTGAAAATTAGCAACAGCGAAAAATACGCTCTTATTTCAACAAGTAATTTTTTTTAAATCCAATTCAAACTAGTTGATTTAGTTAGCTAAACAAATAGGTTTTTAGATCTTAACGTATTGTATTCTTTTCGTTGGTGAAACCAAAAAAATCTAATTAAACGACCAATCAATTAACAAAAAACTTTCCCTTTCTCATTTCAATTTCAATTGAGTATAACTTTTTGTTAAAAAAAAAATCACGCAAAAATCAAATCTATGAATGAAACACGCAGCAACACGAACAAATAAATCGTCACTGCATTTCGTTTCAGAACACAATATTCAAAAACAAATGAATAAAAGTATAATTACATTCCTTTTTATAGATTTTTTAACATTCACTTTGAATTTACATGCAAAGAAACAACTGAAATACAAGTTGAATAAAAAAAAACAAACAAACTAAAAGCATGCGATCAAATAGAGTTACGCAAATTCAGCGCTACAAACTAACATATATTTATTAATAAACTATAGCTCTTCTATTACTAAACATCGTACATCAAGAATAATCAAGTCAATGTGTATGAAATGAACGGCGCGCAGCAAAAGAAGAGCAAACACACACACACACACACACACGCAGAGAACACAAACAGTAAAAATAAAAATCAGACAAATCTATTCATATATACATCATTATTACTAATATCTTATTGATAATTGTAATGAGTGAAAATAAAGTGGTCGATACGACTTTGAACAAAAAAAACAACAGAACATAAAAAAAACTATGAAACAACGGAATTTTCCTATTCGGCTCCTTCCTCTCCTTCTCCTTCTTCTTCGTCTTTTACTTGTTTTGCACTTGATTTCAGTTCGAGTTGTTGTGGTAACGAGATCGAATTTAGGTATTTCCAAAGACGTCGCTGAATGACTTGTGTTCGCAATCGAACGCAACAGATAGAGTGGGGACATTGCGACACGATCATCGCTGCTTCAGAATTCATCTGACAGACAAACATTCAGTCGGTGATTTTGTTCACAGTCGTACGACGCTGCTGTCAACTTTTTAGTTCCGAGTTTTTTTGTTTTTGTGGTTTTAACAAGGTAAGATCTTGCTTTCTGGATTTTTCGCACTTTATGAAAATACTATTTGCTCAATTGAAATGTGTTGAAATCTTTTTAAATCATAAGCATTTAAAAAAATCATCAAAAGTTCAGGTAAATTCGAAATGATATGCAAAGTATTGCGTTGGTTTTTCTATTGCTACTCAGTGAGGCATTAAAGCAATTTACTTTCTAATTCACTCTTAGACGCAAACCAGTTCTTCGCTGTTTTTTTTCTTGCTTCAGGGCATCGACCGGTGAAAAAAAAACCGAACATTGCCGCTTTGTCATAGTTTCATTAAACTCAAGAATTTCCATTGAAAATAATTCAAAATGATTTTATTTCTGACATTGCGAAGAAATTCACTCTATTTTCCGGTCGTTCATCGCTCCGTCATACCGCGATATTTATATTTATAGCTTGGTTTTTTGTTGTTGTTGTTGTTGTTGTCAAACGTCAATCATTTGTTTGGATTTTATTTTTAGTTTAATTCCAATATGAAATTGCATGCTGTATCTGATGGACCGCCATCGTTGGCTTGTCGCATGGTGTTGAAAGCACTGAATATCCCATTCGATTTGGTTCCGGTAAACTTTAATACTGGCGAACATTTAACCGATGAATATTTCAAGGTAATAGGAAAAAGAGACACAAAGAGTGAGAGAGAGAGAGAGAGAGAGAGAGAAAACAAATACGACGGAAATATCCTTAAATAACTTCTGCCTTATTTTCCAGTTGAATCCGCAAAAAGAGATACCAGTGCTTGATGACAATGGATTTCTGTTGAGCGAAAGTATTGCGATTATGCAGTATTTATGTGATCAATATGCACCAGAGAATCCAATCTATCCAAAAGAACCTAAGCAACGAGCACTTGTCAACCATCGAATGTGCTTCAACATGGCTTTCTACTACAATTACATTAGCCAATATACGGTAAATTTCCAACTCAAAATTCAATTCCTGAACTTCGTTTTCTTTTTTGTTCTAACTCGAATTATTTCACGTGCATGATAGATGGCTCCGATTTTCTTTGACTACCCACGAAGCGACATGGGAAAAAAGAAGGTTGAACTCGCTTTGAATGTATTTGAAACGTACTTGAAAGCGACCAACACGAAATATGCTACTGGGGATTGCATTACAATTGCTGACATTGCGCTGGTTGCCGGAACTCTACCCTTGGAGGCAATCGGATATAAATTCGAACATTATCCACTGGTTACTAAGTGGTACAGTACATTTAAAAGTGAGAACCCTGGATTGTGGGAAATTGCGCAGGCTGGTGTCGATGAAATCGCTGGATTTGAACAGAACCCAGCATCATTGGATCTATCAAAATTAAATCATCCATTCCATCCGATCAAAAAGAATTAGCAGAAAATCCGCAGATTTAAACCGTATTTAACATTCATGGATAATGGTTTCTCATTTTATCAGTTCTTTTTTGTATTGAAATTCACCCAAATAAAATTCATTAAGTTTGGTTTTTGCACTGAATCTCAATGTTTTGGTTTGATTGGTTATTCTTTGCTACGCACTCGACGCCATCTATTAAAAACGTTGAAGTGTAAACAAGACTAGAATCAACGATATGCGGACGATATATATCGTATATCTTTATCTATATGCCCCAAAGATATACTTGACAGCTCGTGTGATGCAACCACAGTTTTTCCAACAATGTCAACAGCTTTGTGCGAGTGTCATTCTATGCTATGATTATGATAATACAAAAATATTCCTACGCATTTCATTTGAACAATGTGATTAGAACGTCTAATTTAGAAACAGGTAAGCGTGCTATTTTCAAGCTACCTATGCGGTGTCTAGCACACATGATAAAAACAGCGCAATATACCCGGAAATTGGAGAAAACTTCTCGAAATTTACGTTGATTCGTTTGAAATTGCTATTATCGAACAAATCACCCTTGTTCCGTTAGTTTCTTGTTTTCCGATAGTTTTTGATGGTGGAAAAAGATATGAAGAAAATATTATCCAGATGAATGATTGAATTGCGTATATTTGGAACTTTCTAAGGAAAATTGTTTTCGATCAACGTTAAACTCAGTACTAATTATATCATCAAATAAATGTTCCATTCGTCAGACATTTAAAAAGAAAGGAAAATAAAACATTTCATTATTCAAGTTGATATATACCAAAACGTTCAAATGACACATTCAGTACTGTGATTTTGTGCAGTTAATCCACCTTCACCTCCGAGCTACTGTGTGACTCACGTTTATTTTTCAAGGTAGGTCAAATTTGCTATTGAATAGGGATTTTCGTAGACTTTTCATTTGAGTTGTCATTCAAAGTGTATTCCATTAATGTGAGATAGATTAGTGCGAATATAGAGTATTAAATTTTCATAGAAATTAAAGTTTGTTGCATTTTTTCCATTTTTGACGCTTTAAAATCGGATTACTTGCATACATGCATAACACATCTCTGATATTCCTATGGAAAACGTAATTTTAAAATAACAAATGGAATAAATTAATTTTTAATTGTAAACTTCAAAAGTTATTTGCGTGGGTTGCATTTAAAAAATTTCTTTGTATTTGACAGTGAGTCAGGATTACAGATTTACAGGCAATAACATATTATTAACTATACTTAATAACATAATAATAACGGCCGATATATTGGTCCAACATAACATAATAATAACGTTATTAAGATTTAGCATAATAATAACATAATATGTTATGCGTTATATCGGGTGTTATCTTAATAAATCGTAAGATTCGGCGGTAATAACATTTTATTAACTATAATAATAACATATTATTAAGATGGATTTATTAACTCAATTAATAACATATTATTAAGATACAATCTTATTAATGTTTTTTTCGCGCATTTTTTTCGCCGGAGCACTGACAAGTTGTTTTTTCTCTGCGGAGTACACACATGAATTTTTTGCACTGTTGCAATGAATTTAAAATGACTCTTTGAAACGGAATTATCATGTATTGAACTTAACCATTAAGTTTGGGAAATCGCCAGTCCCGACCTTGAAAGGATCAATTTACCATATTTTGTCTGCATTGTTATAGGTGTGTACATCGTACAGTGCTTTTTTTCTCTCCAGCTAGGGAAAAGAATGCGCGAAAAAAACGTTATTAAGATTGCATCTTAATAATATGTTATTAATTGAGTTAATAAATCCATCTTAATAATATGTTATTATTATAGTTAATAAAATGTTATTACCGCCGAATCTTAGGATTTATTAAGATAACACCCGATATAACGCATAACATATTATGTTATTATTATGCTGAATCTTAATAACGTTATTAAGATTAAAAAAAATCCCAACATAACATAATAATAAATATGTCGGGCAATAACATATTGATAACATATCGAAAATGTAAATCTGTAGTCAGGATCGGTGACTTGTAGTTTCAAAATTGTTTCACACAATAGGAATTCAAAAAGTCATCAAAAACAATAGTTATTCAGTATTTGTACACAAGGTGCATGTTCATTTTAGTTTTCGACTCTATTTCGAATATATTTATTGCTTTCAGTCAGTTCCTTAACACATTTGAGGATAAAATGTTGTACTTTTAATATTTGTGGTACATGAAAATATACTTTGTACCCAGATTAGAATTTTCATCATGTAAAAAGACTACGAATTATGCTGTTTCACCCACAATACCATGTATTCTCCTTTTAACCTCGAAATTTCAACGTATTCGAAAAAAAAACATTCCTTTCCATTGCTCTGAAAATGAAGCAAAAAGGGACTAAAGTCCAATGAATTTTGGTCGCAATTTCCAGAACCATCTATGGACTTCGAGACTGGTCGGAAATTTGAATTTGTTTGATTTAGAATGGGACAACGTTCCGGTGGATTATAACAGCGGTGAGTATTTGGGCGACGACTATGCCGAGGTAAGAAAAAAAACAATAGAGCTTCTTTTGTATATAGCAACTCATAATGCAAAGTATTAGGGAAAGCAAATCATTCAACGTTGATTCTTTCCCTAGGTAAATCCGCAAGAAGAAGTTCCAGCGGAAAGAGAAACTATTACTACCGTGTGGTTTTACTAAGAATAAGAAAAGATAAACACAATCTCTTTTTCTCTCTATTCACAGTTGGCTCCGACTTCTTTCCGATTTTCTTCGACTATCCTCGTAATGATTTCGGAAAAAGCGCGTTAACATGGCATTGGATGTGTTTGAAAAGTACTTGAGCACCTCGGGTAAGAAGTACGTTGCTGGCGAGAATGTTACTATTGCCGATATGGCGTTGGTCGCTTCAACCGTATCTTTGGAATCGTGTGAAATTCCATTTGATGAGTACCCATTGATCACCACTTGGTATGACACATTCAAAAGCGAAAATCCAGAGCTATGGGAAATTGGCCAAGCTGGCGTTGATTCCATCAATGAAATCTACAAAAATCCACTGGATGTATCGCAAATGAACCATCCAATACATCCAATGCGAAAAGATTAAACATCGAAATTATCGCTTCGAATTTATCAAGTTTAAACAGTTTTCAGCAATCGTTGAAAATTGTTCAGCAATTGATAAAAAGCGTACAACAAATTCTTGAAATACGATGTCAGATGAATGCTCAAATAAATTCTTGGCATAAAATCAAACGGTTTTTCAATGAAAATCTTGAATCATTTTTCAATTTGCCTTTTCAACAAAGAAAAATGTTCTTGTTCGAACAAAGTGAGCATAAATTCCCTTTTGAGTCGTCAGCGCCATCTGTGAACACAAGCCAGTAATGTAAATCATACACGTATGTAATTAGATGACGATGTGACACTTGGTGCGGCAAAAATAGACACTTGACAGCTGCCAGCCGAAGTAAAGTTTTTTTTTTCCTCGTCAAAGTTACACATATGCATATTTTAGGATTTGTCACTTGATTGTAAACCTGCCGTCGAAATCCATACAATTCTCGATGCAAATAAACAACGATTCGGTGTTATGTTATAATTGAAGAGGCGAAAACACATTATTTTTTTGAGCGACGAATTCTTTTTTTCCTTCATTCAAACATACAAAATGGTCACAAATAGTTTACTGTGTTATTTTACGGCATTATTGTTAATGTATCATAGTGTATCCGGTGTAGAATTAACATTTGATTTGCCAGACAGTGCTCGAGATTGCTTTCATGAGGATATTAAGAAAAATACGTCCGTAGTATTAGAATATCAGGTGATTGAACAGAAGAATAAATTCATTTTTGATGCGCATTTACCGTTTGCACATAAATACATACATACGTACATACGTAAACCCCATCCGATGGGTTAATTATTGATATTGCGTGGCTTAATTAATGACTCACATTTGGGTAATATAACCGTTTTGTTATCACTTCAGGTTGTAACCGGCGGCCAATACGATGTGGATGTCGTATTAGAGGGACCAAATCAAGAAATCCTTTATCAAAATACACGATCTCAGTTTGATTCACATCAATTCACAACTGATGTACGTATTCCGAATGATTGTATCATCTAAGTTGAACATTGATTGCTTACTATTTTCTTTTACTAATTTATATTCAATTTGCATTGATAGACGGACGGAATTTACACGGTGTGTTTCAGTAATGAATTCAGCACATTCAGCCACAAAATTATTTACATGGATTTCCAAGTTGGTGATGAGAACCCATTGACACCAGACATTGATGCGCATGCAACCGCACTGACTCAACTTGAATCGTCAGCCCAAGAGATTCACAAGAGTCTAAACGCCATTTTAGATTATCAAACACATCATCGTTTGGTGAGTATCGAAATATGTAAAATTGAACAGCAAAAATCCAAAGTGCTAAGTCAATAACTTTAGATATTGATTTGTCAACCAAAAACTAATGACTAATTGGAATTTAATTTGCTTGCATATTGATTTTTAGCGTGAAGCCCAAGGTCGCAAACGAGCTGAAGAGTTAAACGAACGAGTGTTATGGTGGTCGATAGCTGAAGCATTTGCTATTTTAGCCATTTCAATCACACAAGTGCTTATACTGAGAAACTTCTTCACCGATCGATCACCCAATCAACAACGATATGGACGTTTGTAAACATGTTTAGCGTAGAATGCATAACCTTAATTTATCTCTCTGCTGTCGATTTTCCATCCTGGTGCAAAATAAGATCGTTTTTAAGGGAAAATTCAACAGAATCGAATGAAAAAAAAAAACAGAAATAAAACAATAAAAACCTAGTGTGCTTAGAATGGGAATGCAATTATTGTATTTAAATAAAAACAACAACAGAAAAAAGAAATATGGAAAAATACCAAAAAAAAACTTGTGTCACATTTGTTTTTTCGCTTACAAATGATTTTTTTTGAGAATTTGGCTTAGAAAGTGTTTGTTTGGAATAAAATGATCTTATTTTATGTAAAACTAGAAAACTGTATTTACTTATGATCAAATGAAAATGAAAAATGTGTTAACGTGTAAAAAGGTAGAAAATTTCGTAAGTAAAAAAATGCCATTTTCAAAATGGTTCCGAATCTAAAACGCTATCAGTCATTCGGACTGTCTTAAAAAGTAACCAAAAACGAGAACATGATGTAAATCAAGGCCGTTGGATATGCGACCAGGGCGCCATTGTTCGGTTGATTTGACATCATGCTCAAAATGCGGCTGGATACGATGGTTGGCAGAATCACCGCAGGCACAGCGAAAATGAAGCCATTGAGTGTGTTGAGCCGCATAAAAATGCCCATGAATGAAAACCACACCAAATGCAGCATACCATATCCCAATGCGCTGGCCACCCCCTTCAGTGTAACAAAGTGTTCGTGATGACCATAGCACATGAGCTTCAACAGTCCGTACATTCCGAGCACCGACACCATCGACAAACAGTACACATGACTGAAAATGAACACTTTGCCGGCTAAAAATAGGCACGCACCAAAGAGAAAGCAGAAAAACATCGGCCCTGACAAATCGGTGTCGGCCAAAAATTTCTCGTTTGCCAGTTGATCGCGTGCGAATGGATTCATCATCAGCATTGCCTTTTCTCGGATTAGTTCGGGGTAAATTTCGAGCTCTTCAAGCAATGGCGGTTCATCATCTTCTTCTTCTTCGCTGATTGTGCTCAGTTGAAATGTTACATTGCGTTGCGGCGATAGCGACAGTCGCGATGGATAGAAGAATTGATTGTCATTTGCATCCAGAAATTGTGTTTCATTTTTGAATGATGCGGTCGAACTGTTGAAATAACCACTGACAAAACCAAAGCAATCGTTGACTACCAGTTGAAAATCACTGACGCTATTGTGTTTGGATTCTGTTTGTGGAGAAATGTCAAAATGATAGGGGAATATGAGCAAAATTGACGAAAAACAATTGGATAAAAATCACGAAAATTAAATCGTTAAGAAGAAAAGTCGAGAATTTGATAATCTACTGATTCATTTGGTGAAATAATCAGTTCAAAACCAATTATTTCGATATGCTTACCCATGAAATCTGCCATCTTCGATTTTCCCTCCAAAACCATCTGGATCCAGTTGCTGTAGGTGTTCAAACTGCGACACAATGTGTTCAAACTGCGACACAATGAATGCTCAACATCGACAAAACAAATCGACAAGACGCTGCATAATGGTGATAGAGTTGTCGTGCACATTCAATAACGGTAAAATTGTGCGAAACAAAGCATCGTATTGCGGCGGTGAACGCGAAGAGTGTTGCCTGATAGCGACAGTATACCAAAAATAAATTGCTATGAGAACTGCTCTACTTCGCATCAGTTTGATTTTTTCCCTTTTTTGGCATTGTGAGCCGAATTCCACATTTCTTCTGATGAAATTGACGATTTTCCGCGTAAATAATTTATGATTCAATTTTGAATGTTCATTTCTATGATGAAGCTATGATCGATGCAAACATCGTCGACAGCGGTACTTTTGCTGCTGCTGTGGACGCCGTATTCGAGGTGTCATTGCGTGCACAAACACACACCGCATTGGTTGTCGTTCATATCGCATATCACATACCATAACAAATCGTAATGTTATTATCGCTAAATTAACAAACTGTCAACACGAGACGTCGTGTGTCAGTGTGTCGTTCGTTTGTACGTTCGTTGTTGTTGTTGTGTGTTTTCTTATTTTTCTATTCTGTTGTGCTTCTGCTGCTGTTGCTTCTGCACACACGATTAAGCCAGCAATAACACACTGATATCAGAACCTCATCGTGTCTGTTTGTTAGTGTCTGCTGTCGTTGTTTGAAAGAGAGCTAAAAGAATATTTATCGTCGATATGTGCTCTGGTTAACATTTCTGGCTGAACAGTAAACGAGTGACAATCGTCTCATCGAGACACGCATTACATCGGTCGCAATCGATTCTCTCTCTTTCTTGTCTTTCCCAATCAAATTTACATGCATTTTTTTTTTCTCTGCAGTGTTCGACTTTTTGTTAGTTACTATTTTTGGTGTTGTTTTCTTTTCGCTTGTCAGGCGTATTGTCTGAAGTGTGTAGTTAATCGGCTATCGCAGAATATTGGATTCTTTTTCCCACAAATCATTGGCGCTGAAGATAAACACGTAAGTAAAACAATGTAACTTTTTCGCGAAACAGAAAAAAAAATATTTATTTTTTTGTGATTTAAGTGAATTCTTCGTTTCTCTAAAAAAAAAACCTGACTTCTATTTTATAATTGAACGAAAAAAAAAACTTTTCTCAAGGTGTGCACGGTTCCATGGGAAATATGGTCTTTTATTTATAGTTAGCTCATTTTGTTGGATAAAAAACATTGTTTGCAAATACGCGCGCCACGAACTAAAACGCATTTTCTTTACTCAAGTGACAACCTCAGCTAAATAACTCTCTGCATGACGATTTAAATTAAATAAATATTTGACAAAGTGCACAACAGAGACGGCTGAATGTGAGTCAAAACAACAAAACCGCGCTAACTTTTACGACAACATTCGCAACATCGTCTCTTTCGGTTAAATGAATTTTAGTGCGTTTTCTTTAAACGACGACCAGAATATTTTTTTCTGTTTTTGAACATGTCAATTTGGGCTTGGTGTTTGAAAATTGTGTTTTGACTTGTAGTTATTTGCAAAAATAATATTCAGTCATTGATTGAAATAGAAAAAAAAACAATCCAAATCTGAGTATTTACGTAAATTGCAGAAAAAAGCAATCGCATCAGCTGTTTTCACGTTCGGCATTCCAACTGAATCGACACTAAAATGGATGATGAATTCGCATTGTGCTGGAACAATTTTCAGGTTTGTTTTACGTTTTAATATTTGCGGCTTTTTCTATATAAAAATACATCGGTTGTTTGTTTAAATTTTTTGTAGTTGTGACATTTTATTTGATTTTTTAATCCTTTTTATTTTGATTTTTTACGAAACTTTCCGATTTTTCTTTCTAAATCCCAAACAAAAAACTATTCCGATCAAAAATTTGTTTTTTTTTTTAGAAAATTTAGCGCAAAATATTCTATTTTTGTTGAAATTAATTTAAAAAATTTCCATAATTTTTTTTTCGGACAATTTCAGGAAAATATTGCGTCCGGCTTCCAGAACCTGTTTGACCGGGGTGATTTGGTAGATGTTACCTTGGCTTGTGATGGAAAACTCTTGCAAGCACACAAAATTGTGCTGGCCATTTGCAGCCCATACTTTCAAGAAATGTTCATTACGAACCCGTGCCGCCATCCAATTAGTGAGTATCTTTTCTGATTCTCTCTATTGATTTATTTCGTTGTGAAGGTTTCAATTGAATCTCTTTAATAGATATTTGGTCTATGTTCAGAACATAAAAAGCATTTGAAATTCCAAGATCCACACGGGACTATTTGTGAATAATATTTTCATTCTCTACGAAAATAATTGCAAACATGTAAAAAATCAAATCAGATTAAAGTTCAGAGGTCATTTGAAGTTCAGAGGTGTGTAAAATCAATGGATGTAAACATCTGTTTTACAAATGCATGAATCACATTGAATTGTTTCATCGAAGCGCCGACAAAACAGAAAAGCCAATATTTCTAATACGCTATTAGTTCGAACCGCCAAAACAAACTGACAAACTTTTTTTTTACATTAAAAGTTGATTGATGATTGAAAATAGCTATTGATGTCGTTTAAAAAATCATCTGAATAATTAATAGCTTCTTCCCCAACAAAGACATAATTATACAAGTCATTTCATAAATTGTCTCGTTACATAAACTATCACCGGTAAAAATGAATGGCCAGAAGTCGAAATTGATACGTTCGTAAATAGTGGGAGAAAAACTAAGAAAAAGTATAAAAATCGATTGAGAATTAAGAACACGAGGGAAAATGTGAAGCAATGTAAAGTTATCCAAATGGTGTCCCCAGTCATTATCGAATATCAACCCTCAATTAAATCATCAAACAAAATTGATGAAAATTCAAAAAAAAAAGTTCTTGAAATCAAAAATCGTCTCCAAAAAAAATCGTTATTTTATGAAAAGACAGCCTCCCCTGTGATATTATTTCTCGTTTCGGTCGAGGAGACAGTGAAAATCAGATTGCGAGTAAGTTTTCACTCGTATGTACAAAATAATATATAGATCATTCGTTGTGTGCATGACTAACGAGAGAACTTCGATCCAGCGCGTTCGTTCATTACAAGAGCGCGCATAGATACTTTTTTTTTCAATATTCATATCTTCTTCTCCTTCGAAAGTTCGTATATTCTCTTTATCATTATTTGTGACTTGTGTTGTTGTTGTGCTTGTGAGTTTTGAGTGGAGCACCTTTAACCCCGTCGTTGATATCAAGGAGAATTTATCTTTTCGTTTCAGTTTCTGTCTGGCTCAAAGTCATTTACGACTGCTCAGAAAAATAAATCACACAAAAGCCAATCGAATGAACAATATTTCATTTTTGTTTTGTTTTTGTCGAAATGGAGATGGAGATATTTAGCTGAACTGTTTTTTTTTCTAATTAAAACACTGATAAGTAATAGAACGAAACAAGAAAATGAAGGAAACAAATGTCAAGCATCTATCGAACCAAATTCCTTGGAGTATCGACGAGACAAAATAATACGGTCAAGAAAAATGAAAAACAAAACACCAAATTTTGTCTTCTTGTGATATTTTATCAAAAAAAAAAAACGAAAAAAAAAATCGAAAAACACGAGAGAATAAATGTGCGCGCACTAATCAAATACTGTTGCTTGTTTTGTTGACGTTGTGATCGGGCATGAATCTTGTGTGTCATCGATGCCCTTAAAACGTTTCTAATACACAGAGTCATGATATAAGAATACGAGGAGCACACTCGTTGCGAGTGAACTATCATCAAATTCGTTTATCAATTTTTATGTTTTGCATTAACGTATGTCCTTTCTCTGTCACGCTGCCGTAAACAGTCAATGTGCTTTAGTCGGCCGTTTATTTCTCATTCTGATGAGCCGCTGCTACTGCTTCGTTCGCGACACTTTTCTTTGATTTTTATTTAGCTTCACAGTGCTTATCACTGCGTTTGCTTGCTTTTGCTTCAATATGCTGTTGCGGACAACTTTTCTGTTGTGATCCGATGATGATACAATCGACAGCTAAAAAAACAAAACGCTTTATAATTGTATGTATAAAAGGAGAAGAGCCGATAGGGAAATAAGAGATCATTCATGTAAAATAAACTAATGACATTTTGAACTTTGGTTCAGCAAAAAAAAACACTACACACATATTCGATATTTTTCATCGTTGTTGTACTTTTTTTTTGCTTGATTCGTCAAAGTTTCTCTCCTGCTCTTTATCTCTCTCTCCCTCCCTCTCTCTATCTCCGCTTATTTTTTGTTTGTTTGCTTCTCTTGACTCTGCATAAAATTGTGTTCTTCTCCGATGGTGTGAGCGCGTGTATGTGTCTATTTGCGTTAAAGACAATTTTTCCTTCGTCTTAATTGTATTCAGTGGATGATTTTTGTTGCCACATATATGGGCTGATATCAGTCTCGATGCTTTGCGTTCTCTCATCTATCCTTCGGTTTTGAACCTGTTATCTGCATATTTTCTATACTTATCGATGCTCATCGAATCTTCCATTATTATGACTTATGAACTCAAATTGGAATTATACACATCGATACAGCAGATGGCACATCGCACTTATTTGCATTTCAAGGCTAAATATAACTAGTTAAAGAATTTTTTTCATTCCTGTACAAATGGTTACAATTCACCAAAATGCCGTTCAGCGTTGTCAGACATACCAAAGGGAAACCGTTGTTGAGAAAGCAGCAAGTGTACTGAAGAATTTTATCCCTGTGACCGTATTTAATAATTTTATACGAATATTCATAAATGAGTTTTGTTCATTTCTGTCTGCACGCTCTATCGATTTGCATGTACGTAAGAAATGACGCCAAATGGATTTGGGGCCATCGTGACCCCGTTGTAACACCATATGACATGAATTCCATCAATGATAAACCGATAATTTTCCCTCGATCGAAATCATTCCATGTGGTTGCGATGTGACGTTTATTGTTGTTATTCAAATAGTTACGTTTTGAAATGCAACAGATCAAAATGTTATCGCATTTTGGGTGAATAAATGTGTATCTTCTTCGTTTATTTTCTCTTTCTCGCGTTCGGCATACGTTCGACGTCTTCGTTTTTTTTCCCTTGTTCAATATATGATAACCTCCGATGCTTAGATCAACAGTAAATTGTACGACACAGGCAAGCGATCGAAACATATTTTTCCATTGGGGATATCGTTACGGAATGAGCTCAGTGAATTTATCAGAAAAACATCAGACAAGCACAATGTTCAAAGTTCGACGATGATAACACAACGTGTAACAGCTTAAAGATGTATCGATCTTAAAATTTTGTTTAAGTAAAATAACAAATCTCATCGAGCGCACAGTGATAAAGACAAACGATAAAATGAAGCGCAACGAAAATTCATTGCCCTGACCAAGTGAACGGGATATATTTTTTTTCCTTTGGTGAAAAAAATGTAGGAAACTCTATAGTTTTGAAAAGTCGTAAAAATGAATCTGATTCACAAGAAAGTGTACGGATTATTAATGCGGTTCAACGAAAGTCATTGAATCGACTCGAATAAAAGCGTACAAATAGATATAGATATTTATATATAGCCAGAGGAAGAGGGAAAGAGAGAGAGAGAGAGAGAGTGGAACGAGGGAAAAAATTATCATGAACTGAACATGCGTTAAGTAAATAATTTCGATGTCGTTTTCGACGCGAACCATAAAAATTCATCACCGACTATCTACCGTTGTACGCGCGCTGGCTACTAGCAACAAGTTCACACTTGATTTTGATATATTGTTTTCGTTTATATTATTGACGTCTTGAGGCAGACGGGCAGGCAAGCGCTCACACACCGATATCACGCGACAACAAATACTTTATTAGATATCGATAAACCCGTAGCCGATATTGAATTTGGACTTGGGCTCAAGCATAACGGTTTGTCTTCTCTCATTCTCCTCGATCGTCGTCGTTGCCGGTTGTTGTTATTGCCTCTCCCTCTCTCCCCATACACGTTGTTTAACGTCACATTTTTTGTGGAAATCGCTCTTGTGCGAGTTTGTATTGTTTTCCAACGGGAGCCATATATTTTGTAAAGGAATGTATTTCATTTTCGTTATAGATAATTAATCATTTAAGGTAATAAGATATTTATCATTTCTATGGGTTTCTCGTTAAAACTGTTTGCTGTGTGTGTGTTCTTTTTTCATTCGGCAAGTGTCAATAACAAATAAAGTCATAAACCACCGTTTTAAGAGAGAGAAAAAGAGAGAGAGAGAGAGAGAGAGAGAGAGAGAGAGAGAGAGAGAATGAACGAATGTGATAAATGATAATAAATTACAGAAAAACGCACAATCCACCAAATGTGAATTGCTTCAAAATATACACACCAGCCGATAGGTCGTACATTTAGAGATTTTTATGCCCTTTTCAAAGTGCTTATCAATCCAATTCGAAATTTCATAACAGTCGAAATACAGCCGCAACATACCGCTCCACTTTTTTCCTTTTCTTTCGATTTTATCAAAAACTATTAAAAGATTTGATTTTTTTTTTCGTCAATTCGAAAACTATCGGATTTTTTCACATTTACAAATTCTCTAACTTTGGTTGCGTTAAAAGAATCAATGGAAAAATTCAGTTTCTCCTTTTCTTTCCCAAATAAATGAACAAATGCTAAAAATTGACTCAACTGATAACTCTTTGCTCGCGTATTTACATATATGTATCACAAATTTATTGGTATTTTTTATATCATCCTTCACTTGTTTACTCCGAGATCAGTTTTGTTTTTTTTTGCGTCAACCTCTCTCGTCGACTTTCTTCTTCGGATTTTTTTTTTAGATGCGAACAGTATTGATATGGACACGATCGTAAATCATGTGCCAATATATCGTGTTTACGACAATTTCATTCAATTTGTTCCATTGTTTCCATCTTCACATTTTCGATAATAACCATATCATATATGACATTCTCGTATCTGCTTAAAAACCACTCATTCCGTTCAATCGATGGAATGATTTCAATGACATATATAAATATTTGGCGCGCGTGTGTAGATCAAAATTGAATTGTCAAAAGTAAAATAGAAAATGCCGCATCGAAAGAAGATTTCATGTTGGTTCCTTTTTTTATTTCCAATCCGATTCATTGAAGAAGAAGAAAAAAACGTCGATAGAAGGAATTTGAACCTGAAAAGGTCAAACTTTTTTTTCCCGAACACGTGATGAAAGTAACACCAGAAGAGATATTCTCGCATCGTTCAATTATCGGGAAAAAATCGGAAATCGTTTGTTTGTTTTTTTCTCTCACTCATCTTTATCCCTTATCAGTAATAACTCAGTTGAGCGTGTATGTTTTTTTTCTTTCCGAAAAATGTATGATCATTCGTTTTTCTAATGGAGAAACGAAAAATCTGTGTTAGAGTAGCGAAAATCGGATTGTTGCGATTCGCTTCATAGAAAATACTATAAGCTTATATTTCGCTCTGCTTGTCCATTTTGCAACTAAATGTGTTGTTCTTTTCTTTAATCGTTCTGTTTCCAATTTTTGACTCTAATTTTTGATATTATCGAAATGTGTTCTCATGTTGTACTTTTGTTTCCCAAGAATTCCGTTTCCAATCTCCAAAAATACCAAACACATTGAACATGATGGGCAACACCTCAAATGATATCGCCCTGATAAATAAACAGCTCAACAACTTGCCGTTTGTTTAAAAGATCCGAATTTCATTTGTCGTTGTACCCTTGAAAGTGTGTGACCGACGTTGAGTTGCGTTGGCTTATCACAACGGAATTCGTACATAAACATTTGCATCAAATGTTGCATGCACATTACAAATAATCGTGTGGTGGATGTGTGAAAGAGCCAAATATCACGAACATGTTGATCTTGTGCATCGCTGTGCTAGGCAAGCTCACATAAATGTGATAATAAAAAATTATTCTGCTTATTTGCCATTTGAACGTAATCATAAAATTCTATTGTACAATTGTATCACAGCAAATCCGAACGATAAGAGAGAGAGAGAGAGCGAGAGAGAGAGAGAGAGAGTGAACCAAGTCAAATAGTGCATACCGCATTCGTATCGTGTCGCTTTAACGCACCATAAATATATATTATGCGTTGGACTTTCGTACATTTCAACTTTCTTACGACACACAATAAAGTCAATGCGAAAAGTCGGTAGAATGTGAAAGGTTACACAATGCTCTCTTTCTATGGACATACTGAGCATATGAAAGACAATGTCGCCTGCGAATGTTCTACGATAAAATGTTATTGTTTCAAATTAATTTTATCGACAAGAAATAGTATACTCTACTAATAGTCAAGTAGGAGGAAGAATAGATACATACTAGATATTAGTTTTAACTGAAGTACCAAAAGGTCTGTATTCGCAGGCAATTTTTTGTGTATATGCAAATTAAGAGTGTGCCCTAAGTCCATCTAAAAAAATACAATTTCCTGGTTTCTCATTAAAATCGAATTCCTTGCTCATACGCATTACAAATTATGTACATTGATTTCGTAAACTAATTACCACATTCCATATCTATTTCTAGTCATTTTGAAAGATGTGCCATGCACGGTGATGACAGAGCTGCTTCAATTCATGTACCAAGGCGTGGTGAATGTCAAACACACCGAATTGAATTCGTTTATGAAAATTGCACAGCAGCTTCAGATCAAAGGGCTTCACACATCATCGAAGCAAGAGGTGCACCAAAGTCAATCACATCATCATGCACAGAAATCACCATCCAGCCCGGTCGGCAGTTACAGTTCGAAAAGTGCAATTGACAACTACTCGAATGCATTCCACTCGAGTTCATTGATTGGACAAAAACGTGCAGCGCTCGACTATAGCAGTGGCCATAGTGAAAGTGCAACATCGAAAAAACATTTGAAACGATCATCGGATAGCGTTGACAATGACATTAGCGCCGAATCCATGGAAAATCTGAGCTCCGAAGATGGTTTTCCCATTCCACAAATTTCAATGATCGAATCCGGACGATTCGATTTGTCCAATGTGAAACGAGAAAGCGGTGAATCGCCCAGTAGCAATAGAAATCTCGCGGCACCATACAACTTCGAATATAGCCGTGAGTAACTGGAGACTTCTACATCAATCTTGAACTGGAATTCAGTTTCAATGCGGAATTTAATGTTGTTTTTGCATATATTTTTTTCAAGGTTTGGCAAATGCTGGAAGCAGCACGGGCGCAGGAAGCAGCTCATCATCAGCCATTAACGCCAACCACATGGATATTCCAACCGGTAAGTCTTATCATTTATATTCAAATCTTCATCTGCACATCTTTCCAATTTATATTTTCACAAACTTTGTGTTTTTTTACCGCTAGTTTTTTTTTCTTTGTTTGAAACTTTACTTGTATCTAACCACAAATAACACGTTTGCACTACTTTATTTCAAACACTCATTTCAATTGACTTTGATATGTTTTTAACGCTATTTTTTAAAACAATTGTGATTCGACCTAATATTTGATTATGTTTTTTTAATTCTTGAAATCTTTATGAATATTGAACTAAAAACTGATGGACATACATTGAATATTAAGATGTTTTTTTTAAGTGTTTTTTCTGTTGCAAGTTATAAATTTTTATTTTTTTTTCAAGAGTGGAAATTGATATGATCGAAAATACGACTGATGTTCAACAAATTTTCCTTATTTTTAATTCGAAATAACAAAATTTTCCATTTTTCTTCTGTTGCTCAACCGTGTTTTTTTCTTTTTGCCAATTCTTTGATCATTTGGAATATGAAATACAAGTGAGCCGCGATTGTTTCAACAATTTTGATGCTATGTTAGTCCTTACAGTCCCAACCGAGTTGTATGAAAAGTTTCCATTACCGGGAATCGAAACAATCGAGGCTCGAAAACGTCCTATTTTCGATCGTATTGAATCCTCTACTCATCACTGTTATGTAACGCATTCAATGTAAAATTACTTAAATTTTCTGTTATTTTTCTAATTATAATTCGATTAAACAAAATTGTTATGTATTTTATGTAAGGTTGAGGCTTTTCTTTATTTATTTTTTCCCTTCTTCACAAAACTGCACAAAATCGATTCGTGTGAAAAATGCTATTTTGTACCATAAAATCCCGTGTCATTCTTCTGTTAACCTCACCCGATCGTTCTGACAGCACATGCACACACTCGCTCACTCACTCTTTTGTTAAATTTTCTGTTCGAATAATAGATTTTCTTTTCTGTCACTCTAAATTCAATGTTCATTTCGTTCTTAAAGTGGCTTACCTTGTAGATTGCAACCAATGCTTTTGCGAGTATTCGTTTGGTTGAATGCAATAGCAAATCGATTAAAAGTGTTATTATTGTCTTTCTCTCTCTCTCTTTCTCCTTCTCTCCTGATGTTGCTGCTTCCCGTCCGCATTAGGTGGAAATATAACGATGCTTTCGTCGACATCGTTATTGCATGGCAATTGCATTTTCAATCGCAATAATACAGTTGCTACTCAGCAAGGCATGAAAACCTATTGGTTGTGCAAATCGTATCGAATAACAATGTGCAGAGCACGGTGTATAACGCATCAGAGCCGTGTAATATCGGCCACTGGAATGCATAACCATCAACCGCATATGAAAGGATCTTATCAAAATTCGGAGTTCGTTCAAAATGGTAGTGCAACGAATGTGTCGAATAATGGCCACAGTATATCGGTTTCAATGAGATTGCCGTTCGTGATTCCTGCAACAGTCTCTTCAACACCAGCCACTGAGAATCAATCTTCAGCTCAAACAAATATCCTATTACCAGTGACGTCACAGCATCAGGATGTGTCGAATCATATGGTCGGTGAGACTCAATCGCAAGAACCGAATCATACACATGTTCACCACCATTTGCCACCAGTGAGCCAATCTCAACATCATCATAGTGAACATATGCCACAGTCATCAACCTCTTCGTCTTTACTGCAAAATATGATGCAAAACGCGATGTCCCACAATAATTTGATGAATATAACGAATATGGTGCCCATTCTGAATCCAATGCAAAGCCATACACATTTGACACATATGCATAGTTCGCAACTATCGAATGAATTACACCCGACGCCTAGTCAAGGCCATGAAAATAGCCAGAATTTGCACAGTCCAGATTCGCCGCGAAATTCTATGCATCATGCTCAGCTTGTTAGAGCGCACATGTCGGTTGATGCTAACCGAATGCCACCGAATCACTCACAATCGGGCAGCTCAATGCACACACATCAACAACATCACCATCATCATCGGGCGACGCAATCCAGTGAAAGCAACGACCACGCCGTTAGACTGTCACCTCCCAATGATACACAACTTCAACAAGACCAAATCACTCCCGATTCCAATCCGGCCGTTCATCTTTCACTCGGAAGTGACATGAACAATTCACAGTCTTTTAAACTTGAACATATTTAGTTTACTTCCAGGAAATAAGCGTGAAAAATAGAAAAAAAAACTATCTTCAAGTAGAATGGAACTCATTTAGAATGTAAAAATATCCGTCTAGAGAATGTTTGCTATACATCGTTACCATTCGTTAGAGTCAAGTGATTTGAATATGTTATAAAATAATTTCTAAAGTAGAATGGGACATTATTTTGTTATGTAATTTATTTAGATCGTTCGAGAAATCGATCATTATGAGCCAGTAGATTTTAAGACTTCTTTTGATTGGGATACACAGTTTCAAACTCGATCTACTTTAATTTTAAATATATAATACATCAATTTGATTTGGTCGAAATAATCAACGATTATTTTAAATGAAATGAGTTTTTCTTCTCGTTGTTTTTATCATTATCATCAATTATCTTGTAGACGTTCCCGTGGGAACATAAAATTAAGTCCTATTTTGACAGTTGAGTTGAAAAATCGAAGGGAAATCATTAAGACGTTTCTAGGATCATTTGACTGATGCCAATATCTAGCAACTGCATGAAATTACATCATCAAAACCGTTTTTTTTAAATATTGAGTTACTCATTGAATTTTCTCTATGTTTAGTTACCCCGGGTGAGAAGTGGTGCCATGGCAAACTAGAATTCATGCTTAGCCAACGTGGCAAACCGCTTTTGGTTCACGACGGACACTCATTCGGCATTCAATACATTCGTAAGGACAAGAAATACTGGTGAGTAAAGAGAAAAGAAATCATGTCCAAAATGTTAAAAAATTTTGTTGGAAAATAAAACTACAACTATTGAAATCATGTAATTCCCATTTCCAATGTTGTAGGCAATGCAATTTGTCTCGAAAATTCAACTGCAAAGCTCGTGTGACAACGACTGACACCGGCGAAATCATTGTAACAAACAACGAACACTGTCACACGGAGATTCGCCAACATTTGAAAAAAGAATACAAGAACAAATTGATGTTAAACGCTCTCAGCCACTTTAATCATCACCTACACAGCAGCGCTCTATCCGGAAATGGACCAACGGAAAGTGGAAATATCAACAACAACAATAACAACAACAGCAGCAACAATAATAATAATAATAACGAAAATGCACGTGCTCGGTCTTCATCCCCGCAAATCAGTTCAAATGGTAGCTGGAACTTGAAGAAAGAATCGAACTAAACTGAATTCGGGAACCCATCGAAACGGGATTGAGTCAAGTACAAAAACTATGATACTCCAAAAATGTAAGACAATAAGAAGTTAAAGGATTCGAGCCAAACACTCATATTGACCAAACGATTTATTTGAATGAAAAATAGGATTAATCCGAATAAATTAGTTTCCATGTTGATTTTAGTAGAGTTATTTACTTTATCAGAAGTAGTTTTTTTCTAAGTTTTTTTTCTTCGTTGTTAAAAAAAATGTTAATTTGTAACCAATCCAAAGATTCATGCAGCTAACAAACCAAATGAATAATTATAGAGAAAATTGTTATCAACTGAGTATAAAAAATGAATTTGAATGCTTTGCACAATTTATTCGATACACTTTCTTATACAATTTTTGTTTTGTTTAAATAACTAATCATAAATATAATAAAAGAATTAACTAACGGAATAAGTAGAAGTAGTTTTACTGAACGAATAGCCAAAAAGAAATTCACAGGTCAATGACATCTCAACTTATTTTTAGGAAATTATCGCCATTCGAACAGTTGCCTTAATTGTGCGTGTCAATGTTAAAATGTAGAATCGTGACAAATACACCAAATATAGCTGATAAGACTTTAAAAAAATGACGGCAGCCACAAAATCGTTGTGCTCCTTTTTTACATAGCTAATTTTTTTTTATAAACATGTTATTATTCGTAGTTGAGTATAGAAAATAAACGTTTTTTTTTTCAATAGAAAATGATGTTTTTCTTGTAAATGCTTTGAATTTGGTAAAAAGTCAGGAACACCGCTTTATCATGCAATAAAATATCATTTTGAATTGATCGAGTAACGATTGAATTTAAATGCAAGTTACGATGGGGTTGTATCCGATGAAATTGATAAGATTTCCAATGAGTCGCCGGATTTCGTGCTATCGGAGGAGGACACTGATGTGCTACCCGATTTATCGCATATTTTCGATGAATTGATGTCGTCGGTTGACATTGTGGCACTGTATTCGGACGATATTTCGCTGGACTGAGTTGTGCTTCCAACGGATACGACGCTTATATTTTGTGAAATTATAATTTCATCCTCGGCAAATTTTTCGTAAGAATCGCCGCTTCCATCTGATGAGGGTGTGTTGCCGTTTGTTTGTTTGGCGCCATTCGATGGTTCCGATACTTCTGAACTTGTTGACGGAGCGAGGTCACTTGTACTATTTTCAACTGATACCCCTCTTATCGAAAGCACTTCCACGCCAGATGGCTGAATTTGTGCCATTTTATTGCTCTCTAAAATGTATTTCATTTGCTGATTGGCCAAATCAAGTGCCTTGCTCACATTCACATCTCGTGGATCTGATTCTAAAAAGGGCTGAACACGCAGAACTGGCTCGGGAGTTGAGGAGTTTATATCGGCTGCCACTCGCGACCAAACAGTCGGGTTTACCACATATTTGAATACCGATTGGATTATGGTCACCAACAGGTCTTTCATAAAGTAAACTATCACGGCCGTTATCAGTACGCCGTTTGTTGCTATGAATGAAACATAAAAGTTATTCATTATTTTAAATCATCATTGAAGCAGGAAATTGACTACCAAATAAATAAAAACCAAGATCAACTCACTGCTGATTGTCTGCACCAATTCGGCGATCGTCATGAAGAATATCTTTAGTTGTTTCATCAGAATGCCGGTGTAAAATTCATGGAATAGATCAACGACACCGCATTGTGTTTTGTGTGCACTTTGCTTGCTATGTTTTTAGAATAAATACACAAAGGGAAAGGAAAGTGTTGAAAAAAATATTTTTTCTACAATTCTAGTGTCTAGACAATTAAATTAGTTTATCTTAACAAATGAAGCTGTTGATCATCAAATGAAAACTTACTCGAGAAAATCACGGCATGCGGATCGACTGTCTTTTCCTAGAAGCCAATCGTACCAGTTCATCTTCGTGGGGCTTGAGCATGGATTTTTCTCTTTGCCATAAATAAAATCGACTGCTTCGTTCAATTCGATTCGCTGCAAGTAAATTTAAAATAAAAATATTTCATTCACTTGGTACACCTTATGGTATAAACAGACACAATTGTGTCCATATCGCTTGTTTGAATAAAACTCCGAACAAATCGGTATTTTCAAAATGAATAAATACTTACACGGTGACATTCGTAGTCTAAATACTCATAAAGGCAATAAATAAGCACGAACAGCAGGAAAATCAAATAGTTGATACCATAACGACGACAAAAGATATAGCTCAAGATCATAACCACAAAATTGATGAGAATGGGTCGACTTCGCGGTAATGCATTGAAATTGATCTCCGAGAATGATGGGATATCTTGTAGAGAAGGCAGTGATGGCATATGTTCCCAAATTGTGGACGCAACATCAACTGTGTACTCTTTCACCAGTTGCACGGTGCCAAATTCGGTCTGAGCCAGAACTTCTGACACCAAACCATCGATATCGATCGGATTATTGGATTTTTTCAATTTTTCTAGCTGCTCTTTGGTGATATGGATGTGAACGGTACGATACAGGTAGTTTGTTGACTCATCGAACTAAAAATAGATTTGACATTTGAAATACATGAATTTGGCACTTTTTCAATGAGTTTTTTTTTTCATTTTGGTACTTTTTCAATCAGGTGCTACTTCGAAAAAAGGTAATTCAAATGAGTTGAAAAAGAAATTGAAATATTTTGAATCAATTAAATCAAAACATACCCGAAATTCGCTTGGATTAAACAGGCTATTAACTAGTCGTAAATATTCCGATTTAGCTGAATTTTCGCATGGTTTGCCTGTTTGCGTTTGTGGACACAGTTTGTTGAGTGGATCTTTTTCAACGGTCCAATCGTGTGGATCGACCCATTCGGGATTTAAATACTCTGTATTCCGACACCTAACCGCCGTTGCGATAGTCATAAGCAGTAAAGACACTTGAAATTGAAAAATAAGACAATTTTCAGTTTGTGCAATATATACAAATGACTCAATGTGTTTACCTGTGATAAAATCTAAAACCCGTAACATTATGTCAATTTTAACAATTTCTTAAGCTAACAAAAAAATCTAACATATCAAAAATTGCAAGGTTTAAATTATAAACGTTTATCCGATGTGTGTTTTGGTTGAATTAAAAACGTGATGCAATTTTTGTAAGAATGATGTTAATTTTGGGAGATTCTGTAGAAGTACTGAGACAGAGACATACGGTGAACTGTCAAAACTTATTTGTGTTTGGAAAACATCAGATGTTCGGATAGAGTGCGTGGTCATCGGGCAACACTACGATTCGACTGCAATAAAAATTCACTTTCAACATTACATCAAGTGTCAAATTTTTTGGTCGGAGGAAGAGAAGGAAAAAAAAGAAGAACTTGCATTGTACAAACCAACAGAGAGACTGGAACAGCATTTTTTTGGTGCGATTTGATGATATTTGCTGCAACACAGCATTGGTTTTATTGGACAAATTAGACAAAAACAATGTCCGCACGAAAAGTTGTGATTCCATCTGGAATGGAAAGTGAAGTAAATGAAAAAAATCAAATATTCACAGATTTGTACATGGTGATTTGTGTTTGTGATGTTGTTGTGTTTTTCTTCCTCTTCTTCTTCTTCAAAATAGGAGGACAGTGATGAATATGAATTCCATTTCGGGGCATCAATGCAAAACAACATAAAAAAGACCACGGAAAATCTCAAGATGAAAATTGTGCCCGACATCACGGAAAACGCTGCGCTCAACGGTTCGTCGTTTGATGCAAGTTTAACGAGTGATGCGGTCGATTATATGAATCGTTTACGACAAACTTGGGTATCATGTAGGTGTTTGAACCAAAAAATAATAATCATTTTTTTTGGCAAACATTGAATTTGATTACATTTTGATTTGGTATTTTTCAGATAAAAAGGGTGTAATTACTAGCAATTTTCTAAAGCAATTCTTCATAACACGTGCAAATCCATTTGTTGACGGTCTGAAATTGTACGCCAATTGCCAAACGGGAAATACCGTTAAGTCAAATACATTGGCCTACATTGGTAAGTTATTGCACACGTGCTTTTCATAACCTGATTCAACATGAATCTCGTTCAATTCAATTGCAGTGGTCGAGGAATTGCACAAATTCAAGCACGAAAATCAAATCGATGCGAACGTATATTTGGATCGCAACTTGAAGATGGTCGCGTTCAGTTTTGCACGACAAAGCAACCATCCGACTTTTATCAAAATGATGGTCACCATTTATGAATTGCCACGCGAAAAGGATATGTTCGTCAGTAAAATTCGCGATATTATCTTCGAACACAACTACAAAGATGTAATGACAAATTGAAAATTATTCAGAACATTCGATACATTCGATTATATTGTATTTTTGTGATTCTATAGGCATGTCAGTTAGCACACGATCTGGAAATGCACGATGCGTTTACGATTTTTGACTTTGTATTCCCCTTGGTGCTACAAGACAAAATCAACACAGCCGAACCCTACTTGGAGGGGGCAAAATCATTGCAACTGCCACTCATCGAATTGCTCGATTCGCTACTCAACCGTTCTTCATCCATAGTCAACTTGTGTGATCCATATATTGCGTAAGTCGCCATTTTTCGCATGAAAATTCAACTTTTATGTTGTAATCGATTGGATTTGGAATCCAAAGTTTCATTCCATTACTAACAACTCTGAATTGCGCATTCGAACAGCAAATACGGCTATCGTGACCTTTGCGTACATCGCTTGCAACCGAAAACCTTGTCCAAACTAATTAAGCGACTAGCAAAACAATACAATTTACCCGATGACGTGATTCCGAATGTGACCAAAGGGAAGGTACGTGGCCAGCTACAATTTCTCATTCGGAAAAATTACTCCGAGAAAAGTTTGAGCAAAGAGGCATGGCGTGAAATGGTGCTGGAAATTGTACCAAAGACTGCGGAAAAAGATCTAAAGATTGAACTAATCGATGGTTGTTCGTACAACAATGACGTTCATGAAGCGGCTTATTGGGCCAGGTATGGACTAGCTCATGAGATTGATATTATTTTACCGAATTTTGAAATATCATTTTTTCCTTTTTCTGCATAGATATTACAATGTTCCGACACAAGAGCTACCGCTGTTGGTACAAGACCATATCAAAGAAAATCGTGATTCGGTTCGAAAGAACTTCAACAAAAAATGTGATCAAAATGATAATAAGCGAAATTCACCGAAACGGAATGAATGTCGTGCGGCGGACACGGCTCGATATTATCGTTTAAAATTAAGCCCATCACCAAATTTTATTACGTACGTCGATCGTCGCGATCGTTTCGATGAAATGCTGTGTTATTTGTCGCGTCAGCACTTGGTGGCATTTGATGCCGAATGGAAACCGATCCAAACGACAGGCAGCGAACTGGCATTAATTCAGTTGGCCACCGTCGAACGGATTTTCTTGATTGACGTGATTTCGACTGATATTACAGTCGATTGCTGGAATCGACTTGCCACACAAATTTTCAACAATTTGGAAATTTTGAAACTTGGTAAGCGAAAAATTGAGACAAATATATTGTTGAGTGGGAAAAGTGATGTTTGAATCCTTAGCCCAACAATATGCGCTATAAATGGAAAATATTCAGCAATGCATGCTCTAACGGCATCTATACGGTTTAGTTTGGAAGTATAAAAAATGCAGAAATGTCTGTAAGAAATGACATTTCAAACGTTATTCATGATTCAAGTCAGTGAACTTCCGATAGGGACAAAAGCAACTCTTAAAGGTTTTGGAATTGCTGAATATATTACCATTGCGCTTCATAGCGTTGCCTTAGCCATGGCAATAAATTGATTTTTTTTTCATTTTCAGCATATTCGCCCACGGCTGACTTGAAGCTGTTTCAGAAACTGATGCCGGCTTTCAGCAATTCGGTGCAAATGATGCAATCGTACTTAGACCTACAAGCACTTTGGCAGAAGCTTAAGCATACGCCGAACTTCAAGTTCCCATTTGAAGGTATAACTTCAAGCTATGATTTTCAGCTTCAAGTTGATTTTGACACCCTTCCATTTTCCTTTCTTCCATAGACTATGAGTCAGGTAGCGCCCTAACGAATCTCGTCCAGTTGTGCTTCGGCAAGCCGCTAGATAAGTCAAATCAGTTTTCAAACTGGAACAATCGCCCGTTGCGCGAAGAGCAAATCATGTATGCAGCCCTCGATGCATATTGTTTGATTGAAATCTATGAACGGATTCGATCCCAATACATGTCCATCAAGAATCCAATCATTGGGTTCGATGAATTTGTGCATGGGTTGTTGATCGAAAACAAGAACAAAACCAAAATCAGTGTGAATAAGCGAAATGCACAAGGTGGTGCTGGTGCTGGTGGTGCTGGTCCTGCAAACGGCAACAACATTCCGACCGGCAAGTCTCAATTGCGGCCAATATCAAACAACAAATATCAACAACCGCCGAAACCCCGTCCACACTATCGGAACCGATACGATGATGACAACGCACCAAAACAATCATTCTAACACCCATCCAAACATTGAACAACTCACAAATATTCAAGTCGTGAATAAACATAATCATTTATTTAAATAAAAAAAAAGAAAGTGAAGAAATAATCAGATTGGGTTTACATATTCCGCATTTATTGTTTTATTTTATTGTTGGCTTTGGAATTGCATTGCAATGAAAATGTGCGTAAAACAAAGTAATTAAAATCTATCCATTCAAGGTGGAGACGAGTTCATTGTTTTCTACCAATTCCTTAATGATGTCTAATCCACCGATGAGTTCACCAGCAACGTAAACCTGTGGATATGTTGGCCAGTCGGAGTACACTTTCAGTCCTTGTCGCACTTCTTCATCAGTCAAAATGTCAAATGTGTCGTAATTGACTTTTGTTTCATTGATAATTTGTATGAGCTGCTTGGAGAAACCACAACGCGGTGTGTTTCGGTCGCCTTTCATGAAAATCATAACCTTAGCACGGTTAATCAATGCTTTAAGCCGATCATTTAGATTTGTTTGTGAATCACCATCACCGGCACCAGCCGATGCATTTTTGTCGACAAATGATTTGCATTTGAGCGATAGAGAGGCAATATCGACACCGTCGATTCGATCAATTGCCATTCCACTGCGGATAAACAACACAGTTGGCACTGCTTCGATTTGATGCTTCAGTGACACATCGGATAATTCTTCGGCTGGTACATTGAGGAACTGAATTGCAGCTGAATACTCCGGTTTTTTACTCAAATCCGTCATTACATCCAAGATTTGTTTGCATTGCTCTGCCCAGTCAGCCGAGAACAAAACCACTGAGACCTTGTCTGACCTATGTTATCACAAAAACATAAAAATAAAAATAATAATAGAACACTACTTTGCAAACAACCCGTTTTTTGAATACTTACGCAATTAACTTTTGGTATTGTTCGGCAACATTCACTGAAACTATCGACATGTTGATTCAACAAAACCTTTGCTTATGGATGGAAATGTAAATTTTACTAATAAAATTGAATATTCAGTCAATAATCGACTAAATAAACGATAATTTGAACTAGACTAACCAAAGCTAATAAAAATGAACATTTAAGGTTAGAAAATGTCAATAACTTCAGCATTTATTGCAACTTCACGCTGTTCATTTTCGAAATTTCGAACTTCCATCGAACACTGGAATTGTAACATTCGAACGAATTTCGAGTGGTTCATTTGGATGGATTTCAAATAAGTAAAAGGCTGGAAATAGTTTTGAAAACACAAATATTGAAAGAAAAAAAGAAGTTAAATTGGATTTTTTTGAAATTTATTTTAATTCTTTGGGAATTATTCACATGTTAATAGATGCTTAATGTCTATCCCAGAACCGTTCATTGATTATTATTATAGATCCAATCGTCTAACTTCGTGTTTTATTTTTTATTCTTCTACAATAAATTCGGTTGAAAACGTTTATTTAAAACATCACTCTAATGTACATTTTGGAAGGGTTTGCGTATGATCCGTTGCTGGTTGAATTGGTTGCACATAAACCTTCATAAGTGCCATGACGTTCTCTGCATCTTGAAGCGGGTGAACCACTTTCGTACACTTGATTTCCAACTATGTTCGTATAGCCGTAATTGCACACCAAATGACGATACTTATAGTCATCTTCAGCATAACGCATCATAGCACAGCCAACCACGGTATTTTTATCATTCACCATGACCGTGAAGTCACCGATGTACTTTCTAAAATCAATATTCGGTCAATTCAGACAAATTGCGGATTTATACTACGGAACTTGGCATTTTTCTTTGAAGGAATTGTTGTGTGAAAGGAAAGGTGTCGAATTTCGAACCATTGTGTCCGAATGGGAAAGTTGTAAAAGTCAATGATCTTGTCCTTACCCTTTTGAATGATGACGAAATGAATCAATGTAGCTCATATCGGCATTTCTATATTCCAAAAACCAATCCATAATCATTGTGGTCACAGCATGCATGGTTGGTTCATAGTATGTAGCTGAAACTCCACGACGCGCTATGTTTTGACCCGCATCACGATATTTACCTAATCGAATGGTAATCACTTAGTGAACTACAAATAGAACTTTTATTTTGTTTTGTTACTTGTAGCACGGCATTCATCTTTGGAGTAGACGCAGGAACGAACGTTCAATTCAGCTAAGTAAGCTAACTCGTCATTCCATTGCTATAATAAAAGTTTACTCATTTCAAGGTCGTTTCATTTCACTTTAATACTTACGAGGGCGCGCATTTTACTCGCTGTATTGAATTTCCGCACTTCACCCAGAGCAATTTTATTACGCATTCGATTATGCAATCGCACAATATATTCCTTTTGGAAGTCGTCGAATTCCACAAAAGCTCGATCGTCGGGACACGTTTCACCATAGTCCTGCAAGAGCATATGAATTTTTAGATATGGTGTTTGAATTGAAGATTTATTTGAACACAATTTTAACGTGATTTTTTGAGATATTCTGGGGCCTGTTGCACAGTACTGTTACAATTTTTGTAAATTGTAATTGTAATTGTAAATACAATTCGTCGTAAAATTGTATTTACAATTCTACAATTCGTTGTAAAATTGTTTTTCAATAATGAATGTGACAGTCAAAAAGAAAAAGCGATTGATATCAAAATTATATTCACAATTTATATGTTTTGTATTTATTTTTACTGAAAACTATTTTATTTCTAACCGCTCCTAAACTTCCATGTCATCGGCAAACTCAGATTAACACTATGATTGTTCTTGGGGCACCCAGGGCCCCCAGCGAACTTTAAAGTTGAATAAAAGTACTAAACAATGTGTATAAACCAACCGGAGTTAAGTCTCATTGTATAGATTGAACATTTCTCTACACGAATGAAAAAAAAAATATATGCATATGTGTGAGTATGTGTAAAATACAGCCTGCCGCAAAACATGTTACGCTGTTGTTCTTGGGGGACCACAGGGCCCCATGGCTATTTTATATTATAGCTGGACTATGATAAGAGATATCGACTTGGTGTCTATGACGAAGTTGTAGTACTCAAGCTGCTCTACAACTTCGCCGTAGACATCAAGTCGTTATCTCTTATCAGTTACGCGAAAAGCCGCGAAAACGTGAAAAACGCGAATTCATAGTTTCTCACTTTTCAAGGAACTGATAAGAGATAACGAGGTGGTGTCTATGGCAAAGTTGTAGCTCTGGTCGAGTACTACAACTTTACTACGACACCAAGTCGTTATCTCTTATCAGTTACGCGAAAAAATGATAAGAAAAAAATCGCGTTTTTCACGGTTTTCTGCGGTTTTTCGCGTATTCCGCAAAACTGATAAGAGATAGCGAAATAGTATCTATGGCAAAGTTGTAGTTCTGGTCAAGTACTACAACTTCACTACAGACACCAAGTCGTTATCTCTTATCAGTTACGCGAAAAAATGATAAGAAAAAATTCGCGTTTTTCACGGTTTTCGCGGCATTTCGCGTAACTGATAAGAGATAACGACTTGGGGTCTGTAGCGAAGTTGTAGCACTTAAGCTGCTTTACAATTTTGGTATAGACACCATCTCGTTATCTCTTATCAGTTTCGCGGAATATGCGAGAAACCGCAGAAAACCGTGAAAAACGCGAATGTTTTCTTATCATTTTTTCGCGTAACTGATACGAGATAACGACTTGGGGTCTGTGGCAAATCATAGTACTCGACCAGAGCTACAACTTTGCCATAGACAACATCTCGTTATCTCTTATCAGTTCCGTGAAAAATGATAAGAAAAAACGCGTTTTTTTTCGCGGTTTTCAGCGGTTTCTCGCGTATTCTGCGAAACTGATAAGAGATAACAAGATGGTTTTCGGCAAAGTTGTAGAGCAGCTTGAGTACTACAACTTCGCCATAGACATCAAGTCGTTATCTCTTATCAGTTACGCGGAAACCGCGAAAACCGCGAATTTTTCCTTATCATTTTTTCGCATAACTGATAAGAGATAACGCCCTGGAGTCCCCCAAGAACAGTAATATGTTGCAAATACGAAGAACAGTCATAGTGTTAAGGATTTACAACTAACGATTTGTCACAAACACAAATAAAACGAATTACATACGTAATCCAAACTTTTCCGCTCCGCAGCAATTGAGTCTACCTCCCGCCTAATGTTAAACCCAAAATTTCAATGAAAAATTTTTTCATAGCACTTTTAACCTTAAAAAATAACTATTTCGACCATTTTCCATATAAAAGTGTCATTTTCGAACAGAATTTCAAAAATTTCAAGAAATAATCAATTTTGTACCAAATTTATGCATAATGCTTTTTTCGAGTACTTTCCATACAAAAGTATCATTTTACAAGGTTTTTCAGGTCCTCAGTCGGAGGCTTATGGTACGAAATTGGTAAATCAGAATGGGCTCAAAATCAATCCGAAGCTTTGTCTTGACATGCCAAAACTTCTGGTTTTTACAGATCTCAATTATCTTGTCAACTTTTTGAGATATCCGGCGGACAAAAAACGCGAACGCGGACGACGCCATACGCACATCGCAATTTCGTACATTTTTCATAGTAAACAAAGTATTTTTGGAAGCAGATAGGTCTTGATCGATAGGATTTGATCCCTCCACATTTCCTAGTGTACAGATATGTGCTTTGGAAGTTTCGCGCGACGTTATAGTGGTCCGAAAGAGGAGCTAATAAAACCAATACTTTTCCTTAACAAACAAAGTTCAATCAATCGAACCATTTAATTTTTCCAAATATTTTCCATTCATTGAGATTGACAATTTCAATAGATGAGTTTCAGTCTAAAAGACTTTTCAGCATTATAATTCATATTTGGAAAAATTAAATGGTTCGATTGATTTCTGTGTTTTATTTGTGTCAAATCGTTAGTTGTAAATCCACAATCTGAGTTTGTTGATGATATGGAAGTTTAGAAGCAGTTAGAAATAAAATATTTTTTAGTAAAAATAAATACAAAACATATAAATTGTGAATATAATTTTGATATCTTGATTGATGATATGATTTCTTTTTGACTGTCACATTCATTATTGAAAAACAATTTTACAACGAATTGTATTTACAATTACAATTACATTTTACAAAAATTGTAACAGTACTGTGCAACAGGCCCCTGTTTTTTTTTGTGGGAATTGTTGTTGACCGCACAATTTTCCCATTTTGCCATTGGTACTTCACTTTCAATATTGTTAATTTGACACTGCGTAGTATCACTCAGAATCACAGAGAACCGATAAATACATTTAACCCTCTAATGCATACAACCGCCTCTAGACGGGCAACATTTGAATGCCTGTAGAACGTAAACCGTACATCGGATCACATTGCTTCAAAGGGAATTTTTATTCGTCAATGCTTTCTCTTCATTTTTGTCGTTGGCAATATTTGTCTATGTAGTGTGATTGTAAAGTTATTAACAAAAATTTGTGCAAAAACAAAAATTTGACAAAATAAATTATTTGGTTTCCAAAATAGACACATTTTTGACACTTTTATACAATGGATTTGATTGTTCTCTTTTATGTCAATCGCATTTCCTGACTAAACCATTAGGAATTCAGGATTATGAATATTTTTTTAATTATCTATGGCCAAAAATCAACCAAGTAGCAGTAATCCCAGCCCTGGGAAAAATTAATGCATTAGAGGGTTAAGCACGAGTACCAATGTGGGTTTAGGAAAATAGAATTTCTGCATATTTTTGTTCTGCGTTTTTGGGTTTCTGTATTTATTTTTTCTGCATTCCGTTCGGATACCACAGTATTTATATCACAATAATTTTGATAATTTAGAGTTTATTCCGAAAAACCACAAAAAACATACACCATAATTTCGACATGCAACATGATCTTCGCACAGAGAACAATATTCGGTGGCTTCAACAATTTGATAGCTTAGAATCAAAAATATTGTAAGTTTAACCAAACCGATTTGTCGAATATTTCGACAAACATCACCAGTCGGATGCATTTTTGTAGATTTTTTTTTTGTATTTATAAACCAAACACAGTGAATTAAATTTAAATTTGTTATTAAAAACTGAATCTCCGATTCAGAATTGGGTATTTTCACAGCGAAACCACACTGGAACAAATCGGTTGTACGTTATACTCCGAAAAACACAACTTCTTTTTAAAATGTTCGCAGCAAGTGGTGTCTTTTATATCCATTTGATATTGGTTCCGGTCGGGCACATTAGTAATGAATTGTAATTGTTATGATGCAGATTTTCACATTTCTAGCTCAATCAATGCTTGTACAGTGACTCGTGTTTATGTTAGATGTCGCAGCATCTTGTGCTAATTGTACCTAAATTGTCCATAAATCATTATCATCAGAGCAAATACCAAACAAGTATTTTCGATATTTTAGCAGCATGAGACAATGACTCATCGATAAGTGATAACCAAAAAATCAGATGAACATGATTGTTTGAAGCGAATATACTTATTTCCTGTATCACGTTGACATCTGAATTAAAAGTCAATCAAACATGACCAAAATGTTTAGAATTCAAACATCATCACTTACGGCTTGGATAGAGTACGACTTCGTTATAAAATTAAATAGTTTCAAATAGTTTATTGTAATTGTTTAATTTTTACTTTATATTTGAGCAATTCAAAAGATACAAATTTGTTGTGATAATAAAAATAAAATTCATAAAATGTCTTAATCTAATATAAATTAACCCGTATATATCCATACTTGAAAACGAAATAAAAAATCGATACAAAAATTGCGAAATGCTTATCTAAAGAACAATGTTAATAAACGTCTATCATCCACATTATTTGAGTTGCGGCAAAGTCCTTCGTAAGTCGAATGACGTTCTTTGCATCTTGATGCGGCTGAACCTCTTTCATATACGGGTTTGCGATTGGTTGCATATCCATAGTTACAAACCAAATGATCGAATTTTAAGCCATCCTCTTGGCTTCGAATCATTGCACATCCCACAGCTGAATTCCTGTCGTTCATCATCACTGCAAAGTTTTCGATGTCCTTACTAGAATATAATTCAAAATAAATGATATGAAAAAAAAATCAGAAAAACCTCCAAAGTTTGAATGTATTACTTGATTGTTTCGAAGCCTTGTGGACGATTATTCGATGAATAAATGTTGCTCATATCGCCATCCCGGTATTCCAAAAACCAGTCCATAATCATTGAACTCATAGTGTATGTGGGTGGTTCGTTGATTTTATCTGAACATCCACGGCGAGCTATGTTTTGATTGCGATATTTATCTGAACAGAAAAAAATGAGAACCCGACGATGAGTAATTGAAGAAGAAATTAAAAAAAAAAACGATTGTTCACCTTTTTTACATTCCTCTCGTCCATCTGCACATGCACGTGCTTTTGTTTCAGCTAAACGAGCCAACTCATCACTCCAACGGAGTGCAGGCATTCTAGACGCAGAATCAAATCTCCGTATTTCGCCCAATGCAATTTTGTTGCGCAATCGATTGTGCAGTCTCACAATGTGATCTTTTTGATTTGTGCTCATTTCTAAAAGGTTAAGATCACCATAGCTTTCGTCCGAGGTGAAATCCTACATCCGAAAATTCGGTTTGAAATATGGTTATTTTAAAATGAAAATTCAGCAGCAAAAACATACCCCATAAAAGTCACGTGAACGTTCGTCATAATCGCGGGCTGCAACTAATTGGTAGCTTAAAATAACAAGTATAGTTAATTTAATTGCTCCCAAATTCCAAATGTTTTGGCACACGGCATTAAAGTCGTTTAAGTAATTTATCGACATTTTTGACACTTTTCACTGTTTCAATTGATTTTTGGAAATTTTCAATGCTAAAGAAATTTTTTTAAACTTTTCTGTTCCAAAATTCAACAATTTAAAATATTAAATCTGCAAACAGTTGTAAATCACAGCTTCTTTGCACCTAACTGTTGTCGTTCGAGTGATTGATGGTAGTTTGCTGAATTGTTGCGACTTATATACAAACAATCCGAACGTTTTTTTTGCCAGTGTCCCCGATAAGTGCTCTATCATCATTTGTTTGCAAAATAGTAAAATGTGAACGCAACCGTTCTGGATACAGAATCTTGCTCTCTAGCGCACAAATTTCTACCCCAACGCGGATTCCATTGTGAAATCTTAACCAAGTGAATAAGCAACGAGTCTCAATTGGTTTTCGTTGAACTGGATCATGATGACATTTCCAAAATAGAGTCGAAATTCAGAGTGAGACACGGAAAAAGCCTTTTTTTGGTATGACAAGTAGCACGTAGAAGCTCGATTGCAAATGTAATAATGACTCATCAAAAATAGTTACTGAAACGTTCATGGGTGAACAGACTCTAACTGAGGTAAATCATATCAAATATATAATTTGCTAAGTGCGTTTGAGATTAGCATAAAAAAAATTGAAGTCAACCAAATATGACGACAATGCTTGGAATTCAAACCATCTCAAACTGTGAAAAATGTCGACATCTAAAACTCTTATGTCGTAAATAAAGTCAAAGTATTTCGAGTATTTCGTAAAAGATTGTTTTTTATTTATTTTATTCAAATTCAAATGTTAACATTTTCGTGATTCTAAAGAGACAATCTTAATTAAACCAAATATTCTCGTTTGAGCTAAAATCCATTTTTTTTAAATTCGCATTAAAAGTCCAAACTAATTTCTAAACAAGCAGAATTCTGTTGAAAAGAACATTGCTCAAAATCATCTTTCATCCGAATTATTTGGAGTTCGGCAAAGGCCGTCGTAAGTCGAATGACGTTCTCTGCATTTTGAAGCGGGTGCACCTCTTTCATATACGGGTCTACGATGTGATGCATAACCATAATTACAGACCAAATGTTCAAAATTAAAGCCGTCCTCTTGGCTACGAGTCATTGCACGGCCCACAACCGAGTTCCTGTCATTCATCATCACTGTGAAGTTATCGATATCCAACCTAGAATCAAATTCAAAACAAAAGATGTAAACTCAGAATATTCTTCGAAGTTTCGTTATGTCACCTTTGCATTTCGGTCCCTTGATGGCGATTGGATGATGAATATATATATGTTGCTCATGTCGGTATCTCTGTATTCCAAAAACCAATCCATAATCATTGAAGTTACATGGGTGATTCATTGATTTTCTCTGGGACACCGTGGCGAGCTTTGTTTTGGTTACGATGTTTGTCTATGAAAATGAGAAGGAAAATTGTTTTTACACACTCAAATAATCCATAGAATTAAGGAAACGTTTTTTGTTTACCTGTGAAACATTCCTCTTGTGCACCTGCACATGCACGTACTTTTGTTTCAGCTGAACAAGCCAATTCATTACTCAGCGCTATTCAAATAGAAAATGAATATTTTAAGCTAAAAATGTTATTCAAATTTTCAATCGAATACCTACAAGAACCGGCATTCGGTTAGCTGAATCGAATTTTCCAATTTCACTCAATGCAATTTTGCTGCGCAATTGATTATGCAACCTTAATATGTGTTCCTTTCTACGATTGGTCATCTCCAAAATAGTTCGATCTCCATAGTCTTCATCGGAAAAATCCTGCGTCCAAAAAATGATTTGAAAATTCAAGCAAACAATACAGAATAGATATTCTTCTATTGTAAGATAGTTCGGTATCAATATTCAGTAGCAAAGACATACCCCATAAAAATCACGTGAATGTTCATCATAATCACGGGTCGCAACTAGTTGACAGCTCAAAATAACAACTATCACTAGTTTAATCGATTCAAATTTCCGAATACATGAGCACATGGCATTGAATTCGTTTGGTTTTTTTATCATTTTTTACGACTTTTTTTTAATTTTTAACGCTGGAAACTTCTTTTCTATGAATTTGTGACCTAAAATATGTACAAGTTAGGTTAATTTCTTTTTAAATCACAGCAATTAAAAAGTTAAATGTGAAAACAGTAGTAAATCTGTCTTTCTTTGCACTTTACTATTGTTGGTCGACTTATGTTATGTACATGTGGCAACCGACTTTTTGCTAGATAATCAGCGACGATTTTTAATCACATGACACTGCAGTGTCTCAGACTCAGACAATCGCTTCATCATGATATGTTTTTCAGTATTTTGAAATGGCAACGCCCATATAGTCAAAAAGAAAGATGTCGTCCTGTAGCACATACATTTTTATTGCAGTCCATTGCAGCAATTTTCACTATGAAATCAATCTGTAAACAAATCGAATGACATTTCCAAAATAATTACATCGAATGTCGAACGCAAATGTAAACCTATAATTTTGTTATGATAATGACTAACCAAGAACTGTTGCCAGACATATCCAAATTGGTTGAACATGATACATGAATTCTCAAACAGAATTTAATAAATGCAAAATGCAAATAATCTGAAACGTATAATTTGAGTAAGTTCCTTTGAGATGAGCATAAAAAAAATGAAGTCAACCAGACATGACGAATATGCGAAGAATATTCCTACCTTTACAATCATTCTCATCACGTAGACGGTGGCACTCACCCACGAATATTCTGGGCTCTATGCTTTTTATCTCTTACGAGAGATATGTTGTTTTCATATCAGTAGTGTAATACTCGTGTTTATCGTAAGTCAATTTAAAACATTTGCAAAAGTCACGTCATTGCGTCAAGTTGTCTGTCCCGAAAGACTTTGAAATAAAACAAATCAACACTACGGAGATGTGATGATAATTTCGAACATTTAATTGTGTAATTGATTAAAGTTTTCAAGTTTTGTGAAGATTTTCATTAGTCAAGTTTATCTTCAATAATAAGATTACATCAAAAATGCGAATCACAAATAAATAAGTTATAACAAATTAACGAATTTCAAATGAGTATTTCATAGATTTGGACCTTTTTTTTGGTACAAATTGGATCAAGGAACTGGAATAACAACTTGTTTTGCTGAGCAAAGACCTTCGTAAATCGAGTGGCGTTCTTTGCATTTTGAACCGGTCGCACCCTTTTCGTACACCGGTCGCTCGTAAATGTTTGTAAAACCATAATTGCACACCAAGTAACGATACTTGAAGACACCTTCTTGGTGACGTATCATTGCGCATCCAATCGCATTGTTTTTATCATTCACCATGACTGTGAAGTGACCGATGTTCTTCCTGGAATTGAGAGAAACAAAATTGCAAAACGAAAATTCATTTTAAAAAAATTTGTTGATTCAACCAAATTGATTGAAAAGATTCAAATTTTAAATTTATATTGAAAAATCATTTCAAAAAGTAAAACTAAAATCATTAAAAGTTTACCCCAACGGATGATTGTGATATGACTTGATATAGCTCATGTCAGCATCTTTGTATTCGATAAACCAGTCATTGATCATCTTTTTGATGGCTGTATTAGTATTTTCATATCCCTTTGTATTTCCGCGCCGTGCAATATTTTGACCAGCCCAACGATATTTATCTAATGAAAAAGTATGAACATTATTTTCATCGTCAATTTTCAACTGTCCAATTGGTTTTCTCAAGCAGAGAAGATCTCAAGATTGTGAGAAAAAACGTCTCATGTAAAAAGAATAGTTATTCTAATTACCTGTTGCTCTGCACTCATCATGACCATAATTACAGGATCGTACATTTAATTCAGCCAAATAAGCTAGTTCATCACTCCATTGCTGCAAAAATTTTAACAATTTATTTTTAGAAATATAACATAAGTCAAGTTCGATGATTTAGTTTATTCGCCTTACAAAGGACGGCATTTTTGCGGCCGAACTATATTTTGGAATTTGTCCCAAAGCAATTTTGTTTCTCATTCGATTGTGGAGTTTTACGATGTATTCCTTCTGTGAGGTGTTCATTTCTAACAATTGTCGATCGGCTGAACAATCCTTCCCGAAATTCTACACGGAAATAAAAATTTAATTCGCATTTTCAACTTGAAAAATTTCAAAATAAAACACAAGAATATGAATTGGGTTCACATGATTTCAACACAATTTTTTTTTTAAATTCTAGTTCTATTCTAGTTTCATAAGAAAACAACGTACACCATCATTATTGCAGGCAACGTGATGTTTACAATAGGAACAATAATTCTTTGCTTCAACGATGTGATAGCTTAACAACACAAAAATGGCCAATTTAACAAAGCCAAAACGTTGAATGCTTCGGCCTACGGCGGCACTGAATTCACTCAAATAAAAATGCATTTTTGCAAAAAATATTGCCTATAGACAAAAGAACACGAATCTCGTCTAAAATTGCAACAATTGAACACAATACTTGAACATTAACAACAGCAGAAGACGCGCAAGAGACTCTGCTTTTTGTTACGAACGTTTGAATGAATGATAGTGTTGTGCTGACCGTTGGCGTCTTTTATATACCGATCGGTTTGACTGCCCCGAAAAGCATGTCGCGATGATCTTTTCCTTGTTGTTTATACACACACACACACATACACACGTCTAATTAAAATCGTGAGTCGCATTTGTTCGATGTTGTATCCAGCTTTGTACACAATTGGTCAGCAATCATTTATAATTGTTACGATGCAGATTATTATGTTTCTAGCTCCATCGATATTTCGCTTGCATTAATGGATCAAGTGTGTGGATTTTTAGATCGTTATCGGTGCGTTGTCTGCGTGCTTATTTCATGCTAATCACAATTTTCAATCGATAAACAAACAACGTCCATTGTTCCGTCGCACACAATTCGCGCTTTAGACAGATCACTTTAGCACTTGTTGTGATTAAATCAGCGAGTTAACATTATTTCTTTCTGGCAAATTATTAATTGCTTTTCTCTTTGTTTATATTGAGAAAGAAAAACAGAGCAATCGTTTCGATATAACAAACTGGTTCATAATGGCTTCCCCCCCAAAAAAAACGTATAATAGAAATGCCAAATATCAATCGGAAGTAGAATTTCTGGCTCAATACTCAATGTGTTCATGGATGATATCTCATAAATCGCACCTGAAACAATGACTCGTCGAAAACCACAGCATACAGCACGAGAATGAGGCACAAGCAGCAAGCCCATACATCAACGGGCATGTTATTCGTTTGTTAACAAGTAATAATTTGCAAGTTTATTCTGAGATGAGCAGGTACAAAGTAGATGAGACAACGGAAACAGAATATTTCAATGAAATAATATGCACAATGTGAGCGAACAAGATGAAATCAATCAATTGTATAGCAAATCATCGGTATTTAAATGGCATTAAACGTGCATATGTATTGCCGTGTTTATTGACTTAAAGCCGTGCAATAAAACAAGACCGCAATGTGGACACAAGCATCACCGTGTGTGACGAAATGATTCAAAGAGCTGCTTATTCAAACAGCTGAGTGAAGTGCAAAAACCACATTCTCTCAGTTGGCGAAAAAAAGCGCGGCAATGGAAGATTGAAAGAGAACAAACTGTAAATTGCACAATACAGAAGCATCGTTCTAATCGCATGGGTGAGGTGAGAAGTCAATGCGATCGGCATTCTGCGGTTTCGTGTATATATACAGACATTGGGATTGTTTTCATTTCAGTTATTTTATTGTCTCACTTCAGATGAGAACATGCATTTATCGGTGTATTTGGTTGGATTATTTGCGGTGGGTGCTTTTGCATCGGTAGACATACCGTCTCACAGATTTGAATTTCAACAAATACTCGCTGGAATTCCACAGCAATTTTTGAAACGCATTTTCGGTAATTTGAAGGTTATATCGTAAGTAATGAATATGATATTCAGAATATCGAGAGATTTTTCGTTTCGATAAAATGAACCGTATTTCTTAATGTAAAATATATTGTGCACGATATTTTTTGCTCCATTCTTTGTGTTTGTGTGTGTTTTTTTCGTCAATTTTAAATTCGTTTTTATTTCTATTCAAAGTTTTGATGTCGAAAAGCAAGAGGTGATCGAACTCTCAGCGCAAGGAAATTATGTGTCATACATTAATGCTATGGACAAAAATCATCCATCCACACCGCCTCCGCGGATCAATGAAGACGATACACCACAGAATGATGCACCCGAAACAAATACGCAACATGTGCTTGATGTGCGCTTTGACGTGCCGGACGATGATCAGAATATTGACCAGAACAACAAATAAACATGCTTTTTGTCGTTGTTCCAGCTTCAATTTTGACGTTGATAGACATGACGAAGTGTACATTTATTCACTACTAATCGCTTTACGATGTAATTGATTTTCGTTTTAATTGTGGTCACGATTCTATGTTCGCAGCCAGTACAAGTAAATAAAATTACATATTAACATTACCATCAATCATGCTAGTACGTTTCTTTTTATTTCTACTTCTCTCGGTCTCTCGGTGATGTCGACAAGCGATGCGCTGTTAATAAATCAAATCTTCGACGAGATGATCGCAAACATTAGAACAATTACTACTGGAGATTATGTCGTTGATTAATTTTATTGAACTTGAACTTGAACATCGAACAAAGTTCGTGCAAAAAAATGTGTATGAATATTTATGCTGTCTGGAAATTAACCCAATCGAATGATGGCTGTACAAAATAAACTACACATTCATTTCTCTGTGGCCCATGATAGTCAATCTGTTTGATCTTACTCGGAATGTTAAATTTTTGTCAGAAGTGTGTGTGTGTGAGAGAGAGAGAGAGTCTCTCTGAACATTAGTGTCAATCCTTTAATGCTTGAGACAAGATAAAAGCTACTATAAATATCGTGTCACGTTTCAGTAGGAGAACAACATTCAATTCAGACAACATATGGAACGATTTTTGTTTATATTTTTGTTGATATTCGGAACATATGTTGTTGTTTGCCATCCATACGACTCAAAGTCGGTTTTTGAGTTTTGTTTTCAACAAGTGGTTTTCAAAAGGAAGCAAACGCCGAAAATAATATGGAAGTAAACAAAATGCGACGGAACTTTATGACTATAAAATCGCATTAATTTTTTCTGTTCAAATCAGTTATTCAATGGAATATTTCATTAAAATTAATACTTCATCCACATCAACATCTGAAATTTGCTCATTTTTTCCGTTTTTTATTGAATCCAAAATTTCATGCATTAATCATAAGTTATGATTCATACCGATATAATTTCTTGTGCGAAAAAAAAAATTCATACCAAAAACATCAAGGAAAATTACTTGACGCAATTATATTAAAATTTAATAATTTCTCAACAACTTCCACCAATTTCAAATGTTATGTTCAACAAACGTTGTTCCAACAAGATTCATTTACTGTATGAAATGAATCGAGTTACCAACGAATTTCGAAAAAAAAACTCCGATTTAAATATTGCGGTACACTAGCGCCACGGGCAGTCATGTTCGAAAATGGGATAAAGTCAGCTGTCACTTGACGTTTCTGGATATTTCCAATGGAATGACGTGCTGCTTTCAATACATTAACAACAAAACAGAGCAATTTCATCACTTTCAGCCAGCAGCAGATCAAATTAAAATTATTTAAATAAAAATCAATCGAAGGTGAACAAAGAAACTTATAAAAAAAGATGGTCTACATAAGCAGTGGTAAGTGGAACTAATGAATATTTATTGTGAATTATGAAATTATTTCCAACAAAGAAATTGTATCGTGTAGTGATCAAAGCACCTACGTACAGATAAAAATAGAAAAAAACATGACTTCCTTTTGTATAGACCACGTAATAATAATCGAGGCGCTGATTAATGTTATTTATTTCATTATTTGAACAGATGGAAAAGTGTATAATAACCAACCATGGTCGTTGTCACGAGTATTTTCGATATTTTTGGGTATCTTCACAGCCATTTCATTATTGTAAGTGTTGAATTCAAGGTAAAAATTATTCAAATGTTGAATTTAAGTCGTTTAATTGCCGTTTTCCAGCCTACAGTCGCTTATAGACCCGTTTACAAACTCAAACGGATCCACTTCATCCACGGGCAGAAGAAGTTTCTGGGGCGGTAGCGGAGGTGGCGGAAGCGGTGGTGGAGGTGGCGGTGGCCATGATGGCAGAGGGTAGGATATACTTTCTCTATTAAATATTTACTTTATTCAATAAAATTTCTGTGAGGAAAACTTTTCTCCTCTTGGAGAGAAAGATGTATGAATTAACGCAAAATATCTAACAATTACCCATATTGTAGACCACCAAGAGGACCACGACGACCGATGGGCCGTATTATGCATTTGTCGGATATAACAGTTCCAGGAGGATGTCCTGGTGGCAGTTGTGGACGCTAAAACATTCCTGCTCACTAAATCAAATCCATGATGATGCATATTAAGCAATTCTAAACTTCTGTGTGCGCATATTTTTCAACAGGAATCTAACAATATTTTCTATAATCTATCTATTCCCGCGTTTTGTAACACGATCTAAATCTAAGTAAAAAGAAGCAAAAATCGATAGTTAAATTTTTTTTCCTTTTGTCAAATAGCCATTTGTATGGGACTATTCTAGTTTGTGTATGTTTATGGAATATGTTAATGAAAGAATGGATGTATCGTTTTATTGCACGTGAAATAAAAGCAAATTAAGAGATTAAAGTTGCTTGTATTCATTTACATTTGATAATATTTGCTTTAATGATTCACGAAATTATTCACTCGGAAAATAAACAAAAATAAACAAATCCATTTGAAAATAATCAGTTTTTATGGAGAAAATAAAATAGTAAAGTGATAAAATTGCTCGAAAAAAACACATGCATTATTTTTGGTATGAATATGAATGCAATTTTTTGCGCAATTAACTAATACAAATTTTGTTAAAATACACAAAAACTTCATTAAATTTAATGACTAGTCGCTCACCACAGATGCGGTCACTCTGCATTACTCTTCAAACGATGTCAAAAAAATACACGCATATCACTAGTTCTTAATGTAAATTCCACATTTTCGGGAAATAAATTTGAAATTCACAAGCATCAAATCACTTTTTGACGGGAATAATGCGGGGCTGGCATTGATTTTCAATCGTTATGTTGATAAAAGAATCGAATGATTGGTTTCTCATTTCAAACAATAACACCAACAAACTCACTCGTTCGATGGCATCGAATGGAATTTACGATATAATCCATAAAAAAATGGGATCCATCAATTTTACTCTCTTAAAAAAGCCCACCAAAATGTGAGTATGGAAAATGAATCCATTGCACAACAAATTCGTTACAATAACGGAATTTATTCTGCAATTATATTAATCCAATATTATTTCAGCACGGGCTTATACATATTCGCACGTTGTGTGTGTTTATGTGTATGCGAGGGCTCTCTGCTGGATAAATGTAAATGATATAAATTTAAGCAGAGGAACAATATAATTTGTGTATACAAAAAGCAGTAGCTGGTATGTGAAAAGAACAGTGTATTGTGCATGGAAAAACGGGGTCAGATTTATGCATATGCTGTAAATTGTAATCCGTTATTAGTGCGCATGGGGCAGCGTTGGCAGCATTTTACTACATAAAAATTGACACATAGCTTGGCACAATGAAGCATTTAACGATCATTGCGTCTGCATGACATGACGGCAGCATAGATTCATTCGTCAAATGCCCAAATTGAAATTACGATGAATTTTAATCAAGGAACAATCAGTCTTTACAGTGCATCAACCTCTTTGTTGGCACGTCACCGCAGCGAAAAATCCTTTGATTTGGTGCATTCAATCAGAGTTTCACCGCGTGAATGCGAACATTCAATCAGCCGTCAATGTTCCGGTGCGCACACAACGAATGGCTATTAACAATCCATTTTATGCGACCGAAAGCGGAAATCAGACGATAAAACGTTTCAGTATTTAACCGCGAATGCACTTTTAAAATATCCATAATTCTTTCCGAATGTACGGCGTTATAATGAACGGCAACAACATTTTATTGAATATATTTTATTTGCAGCTAGATGAAAACCGTTTCGGACCATTGTTGTTCGGTGTTGTGAAATGCGAAAAACACGAAAGAGAGAGAGAGAGAGAGAGAGAGATAGAGGAAAAGAAAGAGAGACAGAGAGCGGATTGGCCAAGTACACGATGTCCGAAAGAAGAGAGTGGAAGATTGCGAACAAGCATTAATTATTACGATTATTATTGCTGTTGTAGAACATTATTTTTGCATTTAAACGTTTGTGAGCGCGAATTCAGAGCAACCATCAAACAATCGTTCGTTCGTTCGTTCGTTCGCTTGCTTCCATGCTCAATTTAGTCATTTCTATCGTTGTTGTTGCCATTATTCCTGCTATTGTTGTGCAGCAGCGGCGGTGGTGATGGTGATTTTGCTGTTGTAACCGAAATTGGTTTATTATCTGATCGTAATACTGTTTTGATTGCGGTTTTAATTAATCTGGTAAAAACATCATTTTCAACCCGAAAGCTACACCGAACACAATACACTTTCTCACTCTCTCTCTCTCTCTCTCTCTCTCACTCTCCGCACAAAATTTATGAACCGAACGCACATTTTATAATAATTTCAGTTCTATGAAAATTGTTACAAAATACATGGCCCTTTTGTTATGAATTTGTTACGAAAATTGCACTGAATTGGCCGAAAGATTCAACGAATCGCAGTGAACGGCAACAGTTCTACATTCATCCGATATGAAAACCCCACGCTTCAAATTTACACTGTTTGAATGTAGCACACTGGTGCAGTGTGCACTGACCCATTAGCTGATATTCGAAAGCAATTTAACAAATTAAAAATTGATTTTAATTTTTATTTTATTCGTTGATAAATTTGCTGGCCCATGCAAGTTGAACTTTCCAATTTTCGTTTCAAGTCAATTTTACGCTTCAATACATATTCGACATTCATTCGCATTCGCTTATCATACTTGCATACTGCAAGAGATTTGATCGACATTTTAATCTATTCGATTTTATCGGAATAATTTCACATTCAGATTCTCCAAATGGAATTTCAGCTAGCAAATGAATTTTGCAAAGGAGCACAAAAAGAATCGTGCATATTTTGAAGAAAAATACTCACATTATATAATTGAAAGGAAAAAACTGAAAAAAATGCAATAAAATAACGTAAAAAATGCACTTTTGTTCAATCGATCGACTTAATAATTCATATTTCATTTAAGCGTTTCAATGAAGGAAGGTGAGGATTTTTTCGGTTCTGAAAAGTTCATTTAAACATTTATTTTCAAGGAGTGGTTCTCGGAAATGCTGAAATATTCCGATTCGCAGTAAAGTTTCACCCGGCGGTTGTTGCGATGATGAGAAGAGGAGAAAGTTCTTCATTGGCACAAGACACTTCCTCTGTGCCATATTCCAATGTTGTAGCGTCAATTTGGTTGTTATCTCTTCAGGTTGTCGCTTTTTTTCCACCGGCTTTTGTTCATCTAAATGAATACAAAATCGCTGGCAAAAATCGCTGGCAAAAATCGCTGCAAAATTGTAAAACAAACATATTTCGTGTTGATGCATGCACTTTGAAAGTCTTTACATTTCGCATGAAGGGAAACATTCGAGACAGAATACTCCGCTCTTATCATCTGGAGCGCCGTACACACATGCACAAACACATAACGATTGTGTCACCGTTGTCGTTGTTGTTGGCATCCTATCGTAAAAACACTGACAGTCAACAGAAGAACAAGTGAGACGGGGACACCGCTTTCGGTGAATGCAGAAAAGTTGTTGTGTATTTATGTCATCAGTTCCATCATGCAAACATGCCATTACTATCGTAACCGACGTACGTATTTCTGCTAAGGTGGCTGGCTGGCATGTCCTTATTGTTAAGCTGTACGTTAAATTTCACATCATTTAATATGAGCAAGACCACTGGAAAATGCCAACGAATGAGAGGATATTTACGTTGTTTTCAAACAGACAATGATACACATTTGGCAAGCGGAAATGAAACGATTATACCGAGAGCCGAGTCGAGGTCATGCTCAGCAGAATGAGTCGCTCAATTGAATGTTTTGAAGAAAAGAGATTTGGGTGTATTAGGCAGAGATTAAGTTTGAAGAAAATTGAAGTTTAACTGAATTCGAAATGAAGATGTTGATTTTTTAATTTTGGAGCATTTTTTTGCCATTCGTTGAATAAGCTACCACATTTGGAGCTACCCTGAATAAATTGACATCGTTTTCATTCTCAACGATTCAAATGCATATTTTTTTCGTACGAAATTGTTGCTATTTTTTGTTTGTCTGCTCTGTCAATTGACTGCCATTGCAGAAATGGCCCGTCCTTCAAGGCAAGCCACATGCTTCGATTTTCAAAATAGACGGGATACAACTGGAAATCTCAACATAATACTTTTAGACGCATCTCCATGTATATGTTCCCAGAGAGAGAGAGAGATTCATTTGAATATGAAGGAAATGAAATTGAATTTCATTGTACGATGAGTCCAATCACAAGTAGATTCATACTTATCGATGGGTAAAATTTCAGTGTGTGAAATCACTTTAGTGAGTTTGAAATCGATTTGCGCGGAACTATATACGAAATTGGACATAAAACGTCCAAATGGTGTGAATGAAATCTGTCGTATAATATCTCAATTTCATGTTCTTGTCGACATGTATTTTACATTTTCGCGGTTCATTGCTGAATGGCTGTTGTTGTTGTAAGTGTGTGTTTGCCTTGTTATCTCTCCCTCTCTCGATGCGGTGCGATGCAAATACAAGCTGACAACCTTTCTTCATGTATTGCACACATAAAACAATTGGAAAATGGAAAACGATGACGAACTGATAGTTTTTACATGACAATACATACAAAAGTGTCACATGTGTATGGAATTCGATTGGGAAATGGATAAGGGATAGCGACAATGCGAGTGGTATAGAGAAACAAAAATTGGGCCACCATATTTCAAATGAGAACAAAATAGCGAAATATAGGAAATAAATGCGGTGTACAACATTTCTCATTCTATTCGCTCGAAAGTGCCGGGAATGTGTGGCAGCAGATTTTCAGCAACAACAGCAACCCGTAAAAGTGTGATGGTAACATTTTCAGGGTGCATTTAAAAGAAAATACATCAACGGGCATGAAATCAGGCGAAATGTCTTTCATCCATATTCGATGACATGTTCAGTGGCACCGTCATATTGTAGCCCGAAACACCCCATCCATTCATCTGACGTAATAAATTGTTGTGTGCGAAATGTGTATGTTCTGTTCCGGTTGCTTGCGTTCTGCACATTTAACTGTGAAGATGATTTTATCTCTCTCACTCAAAATGTGCGCTCAAGTGTGTGCTGTGTATGTTTGTTGGTCGTGAACAAGCGAACAAACGAACGGAAGAGAGAGTGTGTGTATGTGCTGGAGATTGCAGTCTGTTTGGCGATGCTTAAAAATGTTTCATTTTGATTTGCATATTGTATTCGATTTAACCGCAACCTACAATTCTGATATGTGTAATGGTTGCAGCATGTTGTTTTTATTGGCACAAATTTCACAACACTTTTCTCCCATTTCCCCTTTCTCTCTCTCTCTCTCTCTCTCACTCATCCTCTTCCATCTTTTGCCTTCGCCGTTAAGCAAGACACGGTCGGACTGCACAAAAAGACATACAAACACACCGCATCCCCAAAAACCATATATAACTCTTTGCCGAAACAATAAATGTGAATTGCGGTTTCGGAAACAGCATTTATTCTGCAATTTAGATGTTTATTTTTCTTCGCTCTTAGGATCTGCGCTCGCCTTGTGTGCTCTCTTCTTCTTTTCATATTTTACAATCGTTTAGGAAATATATTTTATGGCTCTGCGAACAACAGTACATGAGCAGTGGGCACATGGATATTATTGGCAAAGCCATTTTAATTGAAATTCAAATTACTGCTTGCAAATGCAAAACACAGCTCTCACAACAACAACAGCAGCAGCAGCAGCAACAGTAAAAAAAAATGTGGATCGTTTTTATGGCCATTTTTGCGTGTGTTTGTTTTCGAAATTGTCAAAGTGTCATTAAAAGTGATACATCCCACTAATTTGGTTGTTATCCCAAACCAGATAAAAGATAGATGACTCCCAAATCCAACGGATCTTCACCTTGAAATCCAAACATTTTATTTGCCAAATTCTATTTTCACTCCTCGAAAATGTGCCATCATTTTTCATTACATCGCAGTTTTTTCTTCTTCTTCTTCTTCTTCTTCTGTTTCTTTTACAACGAAAAAACCGAAGACGAACGCAACATCTTCATGAATACGCATTCATTTCGGCGGCGACAATTGAGTCGATGTAAAGTTTTTATTGCCAGTGTGTAAACCACACGACGCATTTTATTGTGTTATCTTTATTTTCTGCTCGCGCGTAATTGACTGTGCCAGAGTTTTTAATGAAATGTGTTTTTATTTCGCAAAAACATTTTATGAATACGCGCGGGAGTGAGAGACAGAGAGCGTTCGAAGGCGAAGTAAGCACACGTAAAACGCTGCCACATGTTCTTGAGTATTAATGGCGCGAGTGTTTTTAAATGCTCGTAGTTTATAAGTGTTTCAATATTTTAAGCTTTATTTTTTCTTCTTCTTCATTTTTCCATGGTATATTGTTGCTGCGATCGACCGCAAGTGAGAGAGAGCGAGAGAGAAGGTGTTCTTCTGCCCCGAAAATTTTCCAACAAACATTCCAAAAGTAATTAATGTGATACGATTGAGTTACTTCGTAATATAATTAATTTGGAATATGGGTTTTATGACACGGTTTAAAGCAGACTCTCACATATTTTATGCCAAATGTGTGGGTATGTGTGTATTTTTCTGCAATCGTGACAATTAATCACGGCATTGTTTCACATTTCAACGAAATGCTTTACTTTTACTGCTGCAAAATGTTACAGTTTCCAGCGATATAGCAACATCACACACAATTGGAGCAAACGAAGTCTTTTCGCTCTCTGTTCGGTTGCGTCTCAAAAGACGTCAATTTTGCAAAGTTAAACTTAATAATATCTACAAAGTGGAACATTTTAAAGGAACAACAACGAATGCAAGCACATTCCACATCATATACCACGTAATAACACAGTAAACAAAAAAGAGCTCACCGAATTTATCATATAGAAACTTTGTGTTTACATAATTTTCAAAGTTAACAAGTGAGTAGACACAATCAAGAACATTTTATCTATGAAGAGAAACGCGGGAAAATGCAACGAAATTGTTCTTGTATGTGCAAAATAACAAAACTTGTCGTTATATGCAAAAAGATATTGGATTTTAAAGTGTTGTCTAAGTACTTTATAGTAAAAATTCCAAAACCATCAAAATACTGTCGTAAAAAGAGCATAAAAAGTGCAATGTGATTAACACCCGCAAGTTTCACTGTCATATTTAATGAAAAAACTACTTAAGCAAGAATTGCCTGATCCTTACCGCGGTACTCAAAGCGTGTGCTAAAGGTGGAATTTAGTTATTATGATTAAGAGTTGCACTTTGACGGCTTTTTGATGAAGGTACATACCAACATTCTAGCGATGATTGGCTTGAAAAACGTTGAAAATACTTAGTGTAACCCACTTCACCTATCGTGGTTTGACCACTGAATATTGGCTGGAAATTTTAAAATTTTTCGAGGTAAATATTGAGCAAAAAAAATATGTTACTGATGGTTCATTTTCAATAAATATTGTCGCAAACAAATTTTTAGACTCGCTTCGAAGTGAATGCGCAAAAAAAAACGAATCTTCTGAATGGAATAGAAGAACAGTTCCTGGAAATGAAAACGATGAGTTGTAGCTGCAAAACATTTTCTCGGCAGCAATAATCCAATTTCTTCAATTTCAATTGCAATTTGCATGTTATTCAACGAATTTTGCACCTTTAGACATCATTTAAAAAAAAAGATATTATATTGAATGAGAAGGTGTTTTAATAAAAAGACACTGTCTCATTCATTGCAAATGAAGATCATTTTAGCCAACGTTGACTGGGATTTTAAATGTCATTAGCACGCATAGTCGTCAGGGACATATAAAAAGTGCGTATATCTCGTGTTAATATCTTCAATTATTGGAATTAAAATCTGTTGACGGCATGGTTTTGAGCAGCTGTTGCGATTTATCGTATTATGTCTTGTTTACCAAAAGAAGAAGAGGGAAAAAAATTGAAGCAGTGAATAGAAAAAGTCTAGACTTCATTTGAATGAAAATGGTTATGGTGTTGAAAGGTCATGGAAATGGTTATGATTGTGGACTGCTCCAATATATAGTAAAAAAATGGAAGATTACAGAGTAATATTTTCTGAATTAATAGTCTGAGAAATTGTCGAAATGAAAGAATAAAGAATCGATGCCATTGAATATTAAATGTACGTATTCTAAAATGGCAACGTGTTGCCGATGCTGATGAAAGCGATCTGATTATTAAGACGGTCGTTGTCTGAAATTCAATTGGTGGCACTTTTGTTATTCCATTACCAATGCTTGTGATGGAGTTGTTGCTTATCAAATCGTGCTTGAGGTCTTGCGGCAAGTCAACGAACAATAATACAGTTGGAACGGATGTAGGTGCGGGGGTGTGGACATGCAACGACGATTTCATTCAATTGTGACAAAAATTTGCAATGAATTCAAACAGTTGGTTGTTGTTATTCCCGTGTTCATCTCAGTTAGCCCGTGTGCTTTCCATTCTCGTCGCTCGCACTTCGTCAGTTTCAGGTCGTAAGAAAAAGAAGCGAACTTCGTTTTGTTGTCGTGTGTCTTTTGTATTCATTATTTTTTATGTTACACTTGGTATTTGAAAATGTTGGCGGCACTTATAGAATATTAAATAAGTTGTAGATGAGAAGGAAAAAAAACCAAGTATCTCGAGACTGTCGTTCGCTGCACTAATGTTCAAATGGGTTTCCATACACTGTGTATATGTGGGTATTGTGTCTGCTACAGATTATGTGGCATGAATAACGCAACGCGAAGAGCGCGGGGAAAAAATAGACCAGCGCATCAAATGGATGACGATGGTTAAGATGATGATGATAACGCGGCGATAAAAATAGCAGATAAAAATTTTGATTTGGTTTTTGCGCTACGGCGCACCATTCTCACTTTGAAGTGTTGTTTACAGTCGACAGAACTTACCACAGACATAAAAAAAAGACCAACCCTCAGCATTCTTTTCCAGGCTGACAGGGAAAAAAGCCCACCAAATAAAAAGGAAATAACAGTTAAAAACGTGGAATTATATTCCGCTTTTCGACTTAAATATTATTCCGGCACACGCATTTATTGCATTCATTTTATTTATGAATTTTCATTTCTCTCCTCAACACATATTTCGCAAAATTCTACAATTAAATGATTTAACGAACGCATACACAGACACAGGAAAAAACACGAGACACTGATAAAACAAACACGACATAAAAGAACATTAATTTAAGTCCAAATAAAATTTGGTTTTGCGCCAGTTCTCCTCTCTCGATATCATTTGTTGTTGTTGTTGTTTCTATTCGTTGTCCAACAGAAATATGTTTACATTTCAAGCGCAATCTGTTTTTTCTCGTGCTGCTGCGTTCATTCCTACTCTCTTTCCCCTCCTACTCATCCTATCTTATTCAGTTTTGTGTGTTGTTTGTTTGTTTTTTTTTCTACTTTTTTTGGCTCTCCTCGGCACCTTCGCTCTGTTCACCACTATCCGGATCGTTACCATTGAAATTGTAGTTGTCCTTGTTGACGATGCCAGTACCCTCGGCATCGCCCAGCCATGGATATTGTTGTGGACAATCACGGCACGTTTCCATGTAGCGGGTGTCGGTGATGTTGGACGTTTGTGTTTTGAATGGCAGCGCGCATTTGGTCGATATATTGCATGGCGATTGCACGTTTGATTGTTTCTTTTGGCATGCCCATGGTTCATAGTTGTTGAGCGATTTCAATGGTTTTGGATCGGTGATCCATTGCAATGCTTGTGTTGTGGTTACCACCCACACATCTGGCCTGTGAATGAACAGAGGAAAAAACAAAATAATTAATTCAATCAAACATTCAACTTATCCAGCATATACTATACATTTAACTTAAGCATAGAACGCTATGCATATGTTATTTTCAACACACCCAATTCAAATACATCATTTTATACCGAATTTTTTAAATTAATATTCTCCATGTGAAACTTTCATAGAACAATAAACTTTGTAAAAAAAAACCTAACCGCTTTTTCACACACAGAGATTGAAATTTGGAATATTGCGTAAATCAATGGACGTTTAAGTAAGATTTAATGAATAAATTAAACGGTATTAAGCACATGCAAGAAATGCGCAATGCGATTTTTGGGCTGGGCCAGCAAACCAATCAAGAGTATGTGTGTTTACTTTGAATGAACAACAACGACCAAATATGTGCTTATCATAAAAACGTTCTTCTTGCGTGTCCGGCAGATTTTTCGCCCCTCGCTTCGCTTGCATCGGATGAATGTAAACAACATAAAAAGTGACTATTTGCTGTGAACTTTTGATGTGGCACCCATAAATTGCCAAAACAGTGACAGTAAATTTAAAAACAAAAAAAAAGCAAACCAGCCGAATAACAGTATTTGGTGATGGTGTTCAGCCCAATGTGTTTTTTTGCCGTACGAGAGCGCCTTGTGCATGGCGATCACGTACACGACTGAACAAGACGGTACCATACACAGTACACACAATAATCAAAACAAAAAGTCATAAACAAACTACCAACTCGGCACCCGAAAAATGAACTCAATCCAAAGAAAATAAAGTGGTTGGGCTTTCACTCGGTTGCCGGAGGATAATAAATACGTATGCAGAGATGGTATGTTTAAAGTTGTTAAATAGAAACGCCCTTTCAAGTTAATTGCAAAATGCACGAAGAAAATCGAAAAACAACAACAACCACGCATCGAGACGCATACACACTACGCTGAGAATTAGTGCGACTGACGACAAAACTATTCAATGAGTCCTAGGTTTAGAGTTGGTTCATCGCAGTAATTTGCCTTTATTCATGACATTTCTAACATTTTTCGTCGACATTGTCTACCAAAATCCAATTCGATTTTTTTTGCTACATTCGAACCTTCAGATAATAACATGAAATTGAAGAAAATACCGAAACATTTCCATATCGAACCGTCAATTTAGTTTTCGCATTTATTTTGTTTGGTCCAATTTCTTGCGAGAGAGAGAGAGAGAGAGAATGCATACGATTTGTTAAAAACAAAGTTTTTCTAACTCCATTTTAACTGGATTTGTGTATGTGTCTTCCCATTGCAACAAACACATGAGCAACATTCATTGAACATAGGAACACACGTCCGTGAGTGTCCAATGTCCATTTGCTCCAATAAAAAGTTTATGTGTGTGGAAATTTTCGATTAGCTACAAAGTTTTTTAATAGCCATATATATATGACCATACATGCATACATCAGCCCAGGACGGATTGCAGTTTGTACTACCGAAAAATTTAATTTACATTTTAAACACTTTGTCCGTCTGAAAATTGTGCGATTGAAGGAGCTTCCATTTGGTCGAAGAGTCTATGAATTTATGGTCGACCGAAATAGTCTTCTGCCATGGATACATATCATACGCATGGTGAAAACAACATTTATTGCATTCTCAATCTGAATTACATTCGCCACTTCAACTTCATAGAAAGTTTCTATGCCAACTGTTCAATCGTTGATGTGTGGAAAGTTTGGTTATGCTGATCAGAAGACTGCAGTGAAGTTTCAAGGTTTTAATGCTACCTGCGATTCATATGATATGTGCGTTCGTTGACCGGCATTGTTGAACGAGCGCAATCAAAGAAGTTGAAATCAAAAGTCGAATTCAATCATACGATTTCTAATAATTGGTTCGCTCGCCATCGATTGATTTCACATAAAATCTTCAATGCATTTCGAATTTGAGTCCTGCTTCCCGATTTTTGACTGACAACAATGTGATCGATTCGATATGATATTCACAATTTGGATCATTTAAGGGATATTGATTTACATCAAAATTATCGTATTCCTTTGGCCATGCCATCGATTATCTTGGACAGAGTTTCGGTTCATATCAATAATTTTCACTGAGTGGTATCAACAATTGTGTCGATCGATTGGAAACAACGCAAACGCTCCGAAACCAATGCCACAAATACCGAATAATTAATCAAAGTGAACTAAAACACATGCAGATATCCTACGAATAATCAATGCATTGCATTGACATTTACAACAAAAATGTTCACTAGAAGAAGAAGAGAACACTATTGAAAAAAGCCCTGATATCGTTTACAGAACCATTTGAACTTTGATTGGAGGAAAACAATTTTTAAGTCTTGATGAGTCATGATACCTCGATGCTTGTCCACGTTAGTCTTTTGAAGTAAATACTATTAAAATGTATAGCGTTTGTAGCAGCTCGAACAATGCATACTGAACTGTCGATACTCATACACTGAATTCGCAGTGGATCCCAAAAAGCATACAATCCAGTTTTGAATCGAATAATTGTTTTGGTTATAAAACGCATAGAGCTGCCTTCGTACTTATGAAACAAATACACACGGATAATCTTGTGCCAACATATCAAATGAATCAATTTGTGAGCCTAAAACACGATAAAATCTCTTCAAAACATTTATTTAATAAATTCTAAAATTTCGCGAATAAATTTGATATTTTTTTCGTTTTTGTATCAGAATAAGAAGTAGAATGAATTGTTTCTGGGTAAAATGAATCAATGGGACATTTACTTTTTGTTCAGTTTGCGTTGGTAATAGGTATTTTTACATAAAAGTCACCATTTTTTTATTCTCTCACATTGGCCTCAAACGTTCGTTCACTCGACATTATAAAAAAAATGTGTTCGTTCGGGAATTTTTAGGTTGTTCGTTCGTTGTTTTATTACATTTAAAATGAATAGGAAGCAATTACATCATAAATTCTATGAGTAAGATTAAGATTAGAGCGTGTTTCATTGACTTTGTCATGAAAGACAAGACTAATTTTGACTTCAAAATTGTCAAAGGCAAGTATGTTCATTTTTGGTGGTTTATCGCGATTTTTCGTGTTTGTCACGAAGCAAACTTGCCTTCTCTTTCATGACAAAGTCAATGAAATACACTCTAATTCTTGCCCATAGAATTCATAATGTTTTTTCTTCCTTGCATTTCAAATGTAAACTACCAAACGAACGAGCAAACAATTTTTTCTAATAATACAAAAATATTTGTCACGTTCCATATACATTGACTCGTAATTTATGGAAGAAAATGGTAAAATGGTGCATAATGTAAAATGTTTAACATTTGTTTGTATTATTTCAAATCGGCTCGTAAATTAAATAAACAAATTCGTGGACATCCTAGGAGTCAATGGAAATCTTTTCCAAATATTTGTTACATAAATTCTGTGGTCAGCAAATAGATACGGATTTTTCTTCAAAATAATATAAATACACTGTAGTAACATTTACAGCTTTTGAAACGAACGATTCTACATATGAATTTCAGATTTTAGTAGGGTACGAATGTAGTTGAACCTCATATTTCGTTTTGGAAAGTTGGTGGATTGATATCAAGAACGACTCTTTTATAACTATTTATCAGTGATGTTGAAAAAAATTGTTGAAAATGCCCTCTTACGATGTTTTTGTCTTCGACAACTACCATTTTTTCGTCAAACTCTCTCTGAACATTTATGAGAAATTAGTGCTATTACTAGCAATAATTTTTGTTGTATTGCCGAACGTTTTTTCTTTCCAATGATTTGGTTTTTTGTATTGCCTCAATACGTTCGAATTGCCGTTTGTTCAACTACACCACTAAAGCGAGAAACGTCACTCATTCTTTTTTCTTTAATAAAGACTTGAGTTTTAAGTTACCTGCCTAAAATTTTATTGGCTATCGATCTAGCAAAATACACATAAAAAAGTCCTTAAAAAGGATGAAATAATCCAAAAACCTTAGATCGCTCACCTCGGGTCTGGCTGGACCCCTATGTAATTGTATGCATTTCAGAGCCTGTTTTTTCAAATTTTCAGAACATCCCGATTTGAAAAATAAACAAATGACATTTTTTTGTAATAGGAGGGGAAAGTTAAAACAAATGATTCGATACATTGTTTGAATTCTGAATCGAAATCCAGTTTTTCAGCTGATGTTTGATCGATTTCGTGTTCGCTTGTTGTGGCAATTTGCTCACTTTGTTCGGATACTTCAATCAGTGGCGCAGCTGCAGATACATTTTGATTGGGATTTGTATCGGATTAACTTTGAGTAAGCGCAACAGCGGCATTTGCCAATCCATCAATTTGATTTGAACGCACTTGCAAAACTATTTCATCATAATGATCGCCAATGCACAGATTCCGCTTCAGTATCACTGATATGGACTCATAACATTGAACCTGGAAACTTTCTGCAAGGTAGGATTAAATAAAACAGAATAGTTTTGTTCTTCTTTGAATGACTCATCGTAATTTTCCGCTTTTCAGCTACTCAAAGCCGTCCATACTTATTACACGATGTTCAAGAACTTAATTTTTAAGTGAACTGATGGCGTACTAGCAACATCATTTGTTTTCAATCCCTCAATGCAATTTTTGCTTTGCCTTTCAAAGAGAACAAAGACAAATTGCTTTGCCTTTCTTAAGAAGAATCAAATTTTAATAAGAAATTCCACTTTTGCACAAGAAGAATTTGTTCTATTGTCAGCTGTTGGTCTTCACAATGGATCGTCACGGTGACGGGTCTATTTCATGGTGTCATACACAAGTTGATTATTAAGAAATCAGCACTGTAACAGATCAGAATTTATAACCTATGTTCGATTCTGTACATTAGAAATTTGTGAAAGAGTTCAATTTGGATTTTGATTTCTCTGACACTTGATATTGATTCCAAGAATTTGAATGGCGTTCAATGTCCAAAATAAGTAACAACTCTCCTGTCGTCCAAAAGTTCTCCTCTTAGTCGAGGACA